CTGTCCACGTGGGGTGCCAAGCCCATGGCGACCTCAGGCCCGTCAACTGCAATAGCTCAGGGAAGTCTCAGGGAAGTCTTGGTGCACGGGCATGATAGGTGCATTATGGTGCATTATCCAATTACTATTTTGCCAGAACTCAAATTATGGTGCCGTGCACAGACACAGCCCTCAAAATGACTCTCCATTCGTGTGCCGCTCCATCATGAGATATCGTGAGCAAAACACCTTACACGATGTCACACACACACACACGCACACACACTGCACGAAACGAAGCCGGATATCAACCAACACCCATGCAACATGCGATTGAAGCTCGAACCCCCTGCATCTGCAAGCCTGGCTAATTAGTAACAACTACATGCATTGGCCCCGCTAAACTTCTCGCGCACATGTCGTGAAGCTGAGCTTCCGAACGTCTGCTAGGCAGGTGGCCACCAATGGGCAGTTCTGCAATTCCACGTGCTGTGCCAGTGTGTCTATGAGAGCGACGTTGCTAAGCTTCACTTTAGGGGCATGGGCCAAGGACAGCTTCATGCCATCCACCAGCGTGCGCTATGCAAGAGTCCTGCAGATCGTCATCTGCTTTGGCGGCGGCGACCTTGTTCCACAACGTACCAATATGTGTGATAATATGTGCCATCAGCTCAAAGCGACGTGATTACCCAAGCAAGCCGAGGTCAAAACGAAATGCTTGATGGCCAGGAGCCGGAGGCGCTCCTTGAGGCGCTCAAATGGGAAAAATTTTGGGAGTTTTAGGGTTTAGGGTTTAGGAGTTTCGAAGTTCGAAGCAAACTGGGTGTGCTGGTACAAGACAGTGCTGAGGGCACTCACCACGAGCTTGGACGGCCCCGCACCTGACCAGCAGGTGCGATTCCGCTGTTTTTCTGAGCCCAAGTTACATGGATCATGATGAACCTCCTCCATTGAGGCTTGTCTCCTCTTGGTCCGGGATTCTGGCTCAGCCTCCGTTCCTGTGAACCTTTCATGGACCCCCTGTGGACCTGCTTTAGACCCCATGCACTTGCTTTGGACATCCATGGACCCGGCCCCTCCTCCGATCTGGACGCCAGCTGCACCCCGATTACCTTCACCGGAACCGTTCCCCTCAATGACCTTGGCGCCAGCACCTTCCGTTGCGGCACTTGAAGCTGCACCTACTCTGAGGGGCGCTCTCTTATAAGTGCTATGAACCATGCTAATATTAACTATCGAATTCCATTTGCAAGCCGACTTAGAACTGACTTATAAGTAGGATTACTCCTGGGCTTGTTGCAGAAACGCGAAATCAGATTTGTGGGTATACAAGAATACGACTTGTAATTTACAAAGAGCCAGAACACTGAAAATCAGACTAAGCCCTAAACTGTGGGGTCTCGGGTCTGGAGCTTTTGTAGCTAAGCTTCACGGATATCGCGGCTTTCGTGGACATTGCGGACACGCATGGAGAGTCCTGTTTTTGAAGGACTTTAAAAGAACAAAAGGACACGGACATAAGTTGACGGATTACGCGAAGTCTCGCGGACACATGGCGGACATCTGGCGAACCTGTGTTTCTCCAATTTTGTCTCGCCTCAGTCCTTCTCGATAAGTTGCATCAGGAAAGGAAATATCAGGAACCTGAAGGTTTCAGCAGACGACTCGCAGGCTGCTTGAGAACCATGTCCTTTAGGATCATACCGAATCATGCCCTTTCTGCAGAGCACGCACACTACAGCGCCTCACTTTTCTTCCAAAGACCAGAACATACATATGTGGCTTCAGTCCGATAATGTATGATCACTTCTCGGGCTTTTTCTTAACTATCAGAACTCCTTGAAAACATATCCAAACTGAACCAGGCGATAGCCTGGGATACAGAATTTGTCATCCCCATCGCCCAGTCGCTATCTCATTTGACCTGTTCAGGGGCAGGGAGCGCCGAGGCCGGCTGCGACTGGCCTTCGTGAAGTCTCGTGGGCGGCTGGAACTGATGACGGCCTCCTGTCACCACTGGAAAGGGCTCATGCGCTGCAAGGACTCGCAAAGCCAGCTGAGCATGCCTGCCTTGAGTGCCAGTGACCGGCCGCTGCCTTATCAAATTACTTTCGCGCTTCACGACAGTTTTTCACATTTCCCACCAAAAACAAATGGGAAGTCAACAGTACACGCCGCCAAGAGCATCAAAATAGCATCAAAAAATCATAAAATATAGCATCAAGAAGCATCAAACAGCATCAAATAGCATTAAATAGGCCCTCGGTTCGGCTTTGGAGGGTGAGGCCAGCGCGCGGTGCCCGGCCGGGATCCCGCTGTAGACGGACGCCCTGCCGCCGCAGCTGCAGCTGCCGCAGCCTTCGCTACTACGGGGGGCTCAGGCAACTTCAGGTATCTTCAGGTATCTTCAAGGATCTTCAGGTATCTTCAGGTTATCGCATCAAGTGTGGTGGCTGCTTCATGCACCACCACCCTTGGCCAGAAAAACTGAAGCCTCTCAAAACGGTGGCTGCCTTTCGGGCTGAATGCGAAGCAACGGAGCCCACGACGTCCTGGAGCAACACATGTCGTGTCGACCAGACACGCCTAAGTACACAGCAAGGAGCACGACGAGGAGCAACTAACGATCACAGACATTTCTCACTCCTCCAGAGCCACGAGCACCCACGCCGCTCCTCGCTCGGGCCATGCCTGGCCAACAGCTTAGCAGGACATGCCGTTTGCCGTTGAGAAGGAACAAAGGAATCCAAGATGTTACGCATGGCGCATGCATGGCATGCTGCTTGCATGAAGGGCCAGTTGTCGGTGCGGAGCCTCTCCCCCAGCGCCGCTGTCTTTGGCAGGCACCTGTCGGGACATCTAGCGCACGGAGCTGCAAAAGAACAGTTGCAGAGTTGGCAAGGGCGGCAAAGCTTGAGCTCGTCACCGGGACGCTGCGCAGGCCACGACCTGAGCCATTTCGAAAGGCATCGAAAGGCCTTCGGCTGTCTGCATGACTGCTTGCAGTTAATGACATCGCTGCCGTCGATTATCCGTGTTTTGTATACTCAATAGTCTTCAGACGGCCGTTTCACTTCTGCCCTGTCTGTCATTGTTCGGGTAGGTTGGGGCCAGCAGGTAAAGAAAATTGAGCTTGTCGACAAAACTCTCTTCTTCTTCTGCTGGGCCTGAGGGCCCTCTCGCTCTTGCTCGCGCACTCTCTAGCTCTTTCTATATTTCGTTGGGGCGAGGAGGGTCACACCGCCGTGCACTGGGCACGCCTCTTCAGCTCCAGTCTCCAAACGATACGTACAAGTCGTGCGAGCAGTCCCACCGCCTCTGAGGGGCCACCCAAAGGCGGGCGTTACCGGGCCCGTCCGAACAAGCTGGCTTTCTGTCTTTCTCTCTTTCAAGACAGCGAAAACCTCTTGCAGCGAACTGTTGCTCTACCCGCTCTGCCCGAGAGTGTATGGTTGCTGCGAATCGAGCCCGTGCGAGCAGCTGTTATGGTGGGCATGAAGGGTTTTGAGAATCGACGCTTGAGCCTCCTTGCAGCGAGCACGCCATAGCACACCCCGCATTTGTATTGGAAGTTCTTTTCGAGTGCTATGATTACTATGTGCAAAGGGGCCAACTTCGGAGCTGAACTGTTCTGTGTCGTCACTGGTGGACGTGGCACCGCCCTGGTCTACTGGTTCTGTACCCGAGTCTCTGTTTCAGGCGTTTGCTGGTGGCACATCTGGCATAATGAACACGGAGCGCGAAACGCAGGAAGAGGAGTGCGCACAAGTGCTGAGAAGCGTGCCACGCTTCAGCACCTCTGCCAGCTTTCTTTGCCTCGTACGGGGGCAAGGGCAAAACGGAGGAGACGCGGAGTGTGACTCTGGGCCGGGCAGCGGCAGAGTCGGGCTTGTGCCCTGCAAAGAGCAAGTCAAGCAATGGCAGACATAAACGGCATGTTGTGAAGCGGCATATTGCAAAGGGCCAAGTGCCTTCAGTCGTTCTGAGGCATCATCCCACCAAGCGGTGGTACAGGTGGTGCCAACCTGGGCGAGAGTGTGGTGGAACGGCTAGAAGAGCTATCGAACGCATCGCCACATGATCGGCGTTGTCCTGCTCAAAGGTCTAGGCCAAACTGCACAGCCGGCCTTTCAAGGCATCAGCCTGAGTCCATAAACTCACCGAGGGATGAGAACTGACCCTACACGCACACACGTCCTGGAAGCATGGCAGAACCTACAGGGAAAGTTCATGGAAGTCGGCGGATGGTGTAGTCGTCGGTGCCTTCGCTTTCATGTGCTCCAAGCCCCGGGCGCTAAGAGGTGCGCTGAATGATGAGTCACACCTGGGCTATGGTGCAATGTTGTGGTAGAGAATACACAGAGCCCGCTGCAACCAGTGCAGCTGAAACACGCAGCCAACCAGGCATCGATGAGCGACTGTGCCTGGTATCGGCTTGGCAATCACATGCATGCTCTATGGCCCAATAGGTGCGAGAGGTGGCAAGAAAAATCTTCCTCAAACATGGTAGGAAGGCGATTTGGAAGCTGGCGGACATGAAGCTTCGTGCGGGCACCAGCCTATCGAACAGCTCTCCGCAGTGACTTGCCGGGCAACCAGCATGCTGTGCAAGTCTAGTCGCTGAAGAGTCGATTCTACGATTCTACTGAAAGGTAAGTTCATGAAAATTCCCAGTCAAAATTGCATGCATCCCGCAGTACCCTAAGCCTTCTTGGCAGCGCTCGCAGGACCACGGCCGCCACAATTTCACACACGACCTCGCTGATTCATGTTGATGCCTTACAATGAAAGCTCGGCTTCCGTGAGCAGGTCCGGCTGCCTTGTCATCGGCGATAGGCATTTCTCCGCATGGCAGCAAAACACAGGGAACGGCTGCCGTGCGGAACTGCGAGCGAGTCGTTGTGTTTTTTCGAGTACATTCATGGGCTTCTCGGCGAGCTCTAGTACAGCTGCGTCCTGACTAATTTGGCCTTGAGCTATGTTCGTCTTCGGTTGCTGGCCACTTGCTTTCCAAGAAGATGCAGCATTTTGATCTGCGAACCTACGGGGGGACAAGTATAGCAGCGGATGTGTTGGAGCATGATGCACAGCGGTGGAGTCTTCAAAGGATGGCCCCGCAATGAGAATTGAATTTATGTTAGAGGAGTGCAACGCTGCAATAGGTTGCAAGAGAGACCTTTTCCCCTGCGTCATCTGGCCACGTGTTCTCTGTACCCAGCTGCTCGCTTGATAGTCAGGTCATACAGCGCCTCAGGCATGGGAATGCACAAGCAACTCAAGACTATGCCAGATCCAGGGTCACCAGTTCAGTCCTAAGCCCAAGCCTTTTTAGACCTAAACCCCAAACTTCCTAGGCTCTGAGTGTTGGGCACCATCCTCTCGGGTGGCTGCCTGGCCACACCTCAGTCGTGCCAATGCAGGTCCAGAGTCTGTCGGCCCCGTTTCATCTCATCAGAGCTCAGCAAGTCCTGGACCTGCCTGGACACAACCGCTTTCGTTTTGGCGCTGATAGAATACTACACGGGGCTAATTCGACTGCTGTACCCTGTACACCGAACTGTCCTACACCGCTGCAACTGAGCCGCCAGGTCTGCTGTGAGCAATGCGGGTAGCAAGACTCCAGGCAGGCGACATTCTCCTCGACGAGCCTGACAAGTCTCCAGAGTTCAAGAAATCAGTCTTCGTAGAACGCATGCGTCATCTTTCTGGAACAAGCTGCCAGCATTTGCCTCTCGTTGACCAGACGCTCGGCCGAGCAGAACAGCAATGCTGTAGAGGGTTCGAGCTCTCTGTGGAACGCCGCGCCCTTCAGTGACGGCACTTGGGCCTACCTACGTAAGTGGTGGCGCATGGGACTCAGGACCCAGCCAGGAGGGGCTTGGTACCGCCTTACTTGGAAGAACATGCGCTTTGTTCATGGTGGACAAAGCACTCTGACCCTCCAAGGCTCTCCCGCCCTTGTTTCGACCACCAGCCATCCCCCGTCGAAGCGTTCAACCGTGGGACATTGTGGAGCACATATTCACATTGGAGCACGTGGAAAGACCCTGAAAAGGGCTGGAGGGTGTTGGGACTCTTGAAGTTCCACGGCCCTAAGGGCTTGGATTTGAGGCACACACTGGCACCAATGTTGCTTGTTCATAACCTCTGTTCGGGAACGCGTGTGCCTCTGTTGTCTGCTTTTGCTGTGGATCTCGATCTATCTCGATGACTGCATGGGATTCTCACAGCGGTGCTTCTTGCAAGGTCTGTAAACGTTGCATGGCCAAGCTATGCCAAGCTGCATGAGGGCCCGGAACAGCGGAGGAGTGACCTGCTTAAGGCCAAGTCTTGGAAAGCTTCACGTAAAGGCACCTTGTAATGCTAAGCGCCCTGCAAGGCTGGACTGCGTCCCTGCGGAGTATGCAGGATCGTACCCACCTGCGTGGCAGAGACGGCTCAGATGCTGTGATGTTCGATGGCTTATGCCAGAAATGTGGAAGCTACTGCCTTTCCAGCTAAGGTCGCGAGAAAGTGGTGAGTTGCCACAGGCAGTTTTTCTCCGTGACCTCAATGGCAAAGCTACCCCCGCCCCATTGGCCCATGCTCTGTGGGCTCGATCATTTGCAACTTGACCAAGGCCAGCGCGGGAGACTACCACACTGCGACCTCTTTCGAAGCGAACAGAAGCTCCATGAAGCACCTCCACATGCCAAACTCAAAACATGACTCGACTACACCCGACCATTTGCTTTGGACAGAGACAGGCTCCGACATCAGACTCACCATGATTCACCCAATTGGACACATGTTGCATGCGCTGCTGAGCGCAAGTGACTGCAGCAAACCGTCGCATGGCCGACATGCTCTGGGCCTGGCCATCGATTTCAGCCGCTTCCTGCAATGTTGGAGTGGGAGAAATGGAAGATGCAAAGCTATGTCCAGCACATACGGATATGCGCAAATTCTGGCGGATGCGTGAAACTACTCAAGGTCATGCAGAACTTTTTGCTCCAACTCAGGGAACACCTGCACATGCAGCACCTAGCCTAGAGATGTGTCGCTGGTGCAGAAGTTGCAGCCTCAAAGATCGCTTGCCCGGCAGTCAGTACCACCACCTGCCCAGCTTGACAAACAGCCAAAACTAAGGATGGACCCGGTGAACCAGTGCTGGTGTGGATATGCGTGTATGAGATCACACTGTTGTTCTCGGTAGCACCCTGGGCTCAGAGAAGCTCTCTCTTGCGATAATCTGGCTCCAGCTAAGAAACGACATTCAAGAAGGTTTTCCGCACAGCTTGCGGCAGATCTGAGATTAGGATTGTTTGAAGGCCCATGGTTCCAGGAGTTATTTCCAGGGAAGCAGGACAGCACAACGTAGCACTTCTGTCTCCTAGGCATTATCTGCGCCAGCTGCAAGATGCAAGTCACACAGCACGCGATGCGCCCCGAAGGAACGGCTGCGTAAATGATTGCCATAATTATATAAAGGTCAATGTGCAGAGAAACGTTGATGGTTTTGACGCGGCTATTGGGTATGTTGGACGGGGTTGAGATTCAGGTCTCAGGATGTCTCAGCGACCTTCGACTTCGACTGCAGAGAGCTCTGTTTTGACCACTTGCTCAGTCGACACCAGCTGAGCTCAGCAATGGCCGAAATCAGCTCAAGAGCCAGTGGATACTGCATGCCCACTTCGCATGCAGTCACGGTGGCGTCATAGCTGATTTCATCATGCTGAAACTTAGTGTCAGTCATCTGCTGAAGCAAGCTTAGTGCTTCTCGCCACTTCCCCATTCTACTGCAGCAACTGATGGCACTGTTTAGAATGATCTGGTTAGGCCAGATGTTGGATCTTGTCATATTCTTCAGGAGCCAGCCTACGACTTGCCAATGCGACCCTTGTTCACAGGTGCTTATCGCACTGCCATACGTGACCTGGTCAGGTGAGAGCTTGCTCCCCCGAAGCAACGACATCAGCTGCAGAGCAGTTTGCCAGGCACCACTTTGCTGACAGGCACCGATCGCACTGTTGTAGCTAATCTCATCAGCAGTGAGATCTCTTGCGTGCATGGCCATCAACAGGCATAGAGCCACTTGCCAGTGTCCGGCTTTCTCGCATGCACTGATGGCGCTGTTGTACGTAACCTCGTTTGGCCTGACACTTTCGAGGGACATGCTTGACAGGACATGCACGGCACGCTGCCACTGCCCACCTTTCTCGTAGGCACTTACAAGGCTGCTGTAGCTGAACTCATTTGGTGGCACACTGGCCACCTCCATAGTCTCAAGCAAATGAAGAGCGATGTCCCACTTTCCGCCTTGCGCACAAGCACTGATTGCAGCACTATAGGCTATCTGGTCAGCATGCAGCTTGGCAGAAGGTATGTCTGCCAAAAAGTCGAGCGCCTTCGACCACTGCATACCTCTGGCGCATGCGCTGATCAAGCTGCAGTAAGTAATCAGGTCAGGACATAAGCGCGCATTCTGCAAACTGGTCAGAAGGCAGAGTGCCTGCAGCCACTCCCCTGCTTTCTCACATGCACTGATTACACTATTGAAGCAGACTATATCTGGCAGTGTCCGTTCCGCCAGCATGTCGGTAAAAAGCACGAGAGCAATCTGCCACTGTCCACCTTTCTCACAAGCCGTGATCGCACTGCTAGTGTTGATCTCGTTCGGAAAAACACGAGTGGAGCACATGTCTGCAAGAAGATGGATTGCTAGTGTCCATTGCCGGGTCTTGGCACAGCAGCTTATAGAGCTGCTATAGCTAATATTGTCGGGTGTCCATGCAGCTGTCCTCATGTCTGAAAGCAAAGACAATACATGCTGCCACTGGCTCGCCCGGCTGCATGCATTCATGGCCGCGTTGAAGGTGACGATGTTGGGCTTGGTTTGTGCGCTTGGCATCTCTGTAAGCAGGCGGATAGCAACTTGCCAGCGAGATGCCTTGCCATTTGCTGTAATTTCCTTGTTGTAGGCAGATGGAGACTTTGACGGTGCCACACGTTCATTCATCACGAAAACACGGATCTACTTCATCGAGCAAGTCCGGCAAGTGCTGTGGCTAAGCGGCGGAGTTGCTTTGAGCCGTCATGCCCTGCTGTCCGAGCTACATTACTTCAGCGGCTTTGAGTGTATGGCGAAGACTCAGCTGGAACGAAACGACTGTTCCATGTTCTTCCATACCCAAACCAAACCAAATAACTCTAGTAGCTATAGTAATGAACACCTGCTGTCTGCTAAACAACCCTAAACCCTGAACCCTAAACCCTAAACCCTGAACACAGATTCTGCCAAAGATATGAGTCCCATGCGCTGAAAGCCGGCCTCGTCGGGCCGCCGAGTCTGCGAAGTAGCATAGCCTCGACCCATACGTTTACTAGCACATTTGTAGGGGTTTAGGGTTTAGGGTTTAGGGTGTAGGGTTTAGGGTTTAGGGTTTAGGGATGATGCAGATACTGTTACATGAGATGGGTATGAGCCCATGGAGAAATACCCATCAATTGAGACCTGATGCGCAGCGTCAAGTCCAGCAAGAACGGGTCGGTTCCATCGACCAAGGCCACATGCAGAACGGCCCTGCCATGAGCACGAGGCAATCAACTAACAACTGCTGTGCGACAAATCGCCGCACAGATGCTCTGCAACTGAGATTGAATAAGAGTTTGATCTGCAACTTGATGGTCTCACAGGAGGGTCTCAAAGAGAGGATGCTCACGGGGGAAAGGAGGGGAGGGAACATGAGAGGTTCTTGCTTGCTTTCTTCTTGTGGTCTCGGGACCGGCCTCCTGGGCCGCTCCGAGGTCCAGAGCCAAGGATGGCGCTCGATGAGTGCCGACCAGCACTCCTCGGGTGTGCGTAACATCTCGTTTTCTTTACACTTTACGCAGACATTCGGAAGGGAATCATAACATGTCATGATGATGCAGAGCTTCTGCAAAGTGGAACCAGAAGTCTGAAGGAATTTCGCACCACAGTGGGGCTTGGACTGGGCTTAGGGTTTTGGGAACAGTAGGTTCGGCCCGTGGCTCAGTAGCTCGGGCTGTGCGCAGCGCGGATGCCGGCGGTGGCAATGTGCCCAGCACCTGAGCTTCCGGTCGACGTCGGAACAAGGCAGGGACAACAGCATGCAATCTCCCTGCGGTTGCTTCGCTTCCTTTGGTCCATCCCACCTCTGTCGGCACGCCTTGCAGAGCAATGTGGCTGGCAAGAACGAGGTCCTCAGAAAAGCGCAGGCAAACCGTAAGTCATTTCGGACGAGGAGCCTTGACTTTCAGGGTTTGCGAAATAGCGAAGGTCAGGTGTGCAAGAACTTTGGTCAAGCGTCAGGCTCTTGCGCACACGGACCATGCAAATCTTCCACGATCCGCCTAAGTCATGCCAGAGCATGTGACGACTAGATACGTACCTAAGCTTGCAGGCACCCCAAGTCAGCAAAGATAGAAACTTTAAGCCCAGGCACTCGTCAAAGAAGCTCCTGCGGTACAATGCTCCGAGGGATGTGACCGGGATAGGACCTCCATGCCTTGACACAGATTGACATCAAGGGGTTGCTTGGATCCATATTTTGGCTGCGCAAACAGATGCAGATGCTGTCGGCAGTTCTGCGCTGTGCCCAAAGCCTGGCTTCAACAAAGAAGCCACCACGGGATCCCCAGAGTCCCTCCATCTTTACCTCGTACACCCGTGTGCTGCCAAGTTTCTCGCCGTACGAGACTGCCTGACTGGCAAGGGCGACCTCAGTGGTTACTGCAGAAACTGCAGAAACCTTTGGTCGACATGCTCTGTGGATTCTCATGGATTCTCCGCTAGTCACTAGTTCTGGGTTGTGTCAAGCAGCACCAGCCCAAAGGTCTGCAGCCTTCAAGGGGAGCAACGTGGGAAGCACCATCTGATACAGTTGCAGCGGTACATTCTGACAAGGACAGAGCCTGGAGAAAGTCGCCCAGCGGCGGAACTTTGCGCCGAAAACCTTCGTGCTCTTAGCTCGAAGGCTTGCTTTGAAGTGGCAATGGCCAGACACCCACAGACACAGTCTAAGATTGCCATGGTTCCTGGCTCATACCAGGATGCCTCTAAGAAAGATCTGCGTCTCGGGAAACTTCTCGAGGTCAAGAAGGGGAAGCAGCGGATGAAACCTTTAAGGCGCAAGGGAACCTTCTCTTGGTCAAATCTACGACTTCAGGGTGGAGATGGATATCACAGTGCGTGTGCCATGCTCCATGATGCATGTGGGGAAGCCTGGCTGCAGGTTAGAGCAGGTTTTCCACTGAAAAAAACACGTGACACAGAGATATGGCGCTTGCTGCTGCAGGGGACCGGCTCTTGCGATCGATGCAGGCGACATGGAGCCTGTCGTCAGTGCACACGGCGACATCTCCCCAACCAGATCCACTCCGTGGAAGTCTAATGCATTTAGGGTTTTGTTTAGGGTTTTGTTAACGATTAAAAACCCGTAAAAATATCCCTAAGTACATTCCGAGCATTGGATTGGCCGTAAAGGCCCGTGCCTGGGCTGCGATGCCCAAGCGGCCACAGCACAACGCCGTGCGCCGGCTCGAGCCTGGGACTTAGGCACCCACATCATTCCCTGTGGGAAGACTGGTGGCATGAGCCTTTCAAAGCAGTATGAAAGACAAAACACTTCAAGCAGTTTGCCTTCTGGGCATCTCTTGTGCAGGCGTTGCCAAGATTTTCCAAGGTTTCGTGCCACCAAAGAGCCCTGATTGCGACGACTGCTCGACAAGCACCTGGCATTGGCAATCTCGGATGGTGAAATCGGTGTCTCGAAAAAATGCAGATTAGATGCCCGTAGAGGCCCATGCGGCCCCTGTGCCTCGCAGTCGGCCCGCGCGTGCTGCAAGGCGAAGTGCGGCAACCGGGGCGGCAAGCACCACCACCTACGAGACTCGTTGGAAGCTTCAGGCGGAACTCGCACCTCGCCTCCCCGAAGCAGTCACACGAAACTCCCGAGGAGTCACTCAGCAGCTGGCCACACGCCGTGGCAGTTCCGCTGCATCTGAAAGGATTGCTTTCACCATGGGATCCTGCAAGGAGAACTAAGCATCAGAACCTTCTTGAAAACGATCCTAAAAATTGTCGGCCCCCCATTCTCTCAATCTGAATCATTGCCGCTCCTCCAATCCTTGCCTCTGCAGCTGGTCTAGTTGGGCTTTGCGCCTCTAGTGCTCTTAGAAGAGCTCGGCTGTGACCCTCGGACTCTCGGATCTTCGCAAAAATTGCGGCTAGCCGCGTTGGGCTTGCTCGCCATCGCCCTTTCATGTCGCGCAGGGCTCCTGCTCGGCTTCCCAGCTATCACCAACAATTGCCCGACTGTTCTTCCTATGTCACTCATGCGCTACGAACTCCTTCCCGCCGGTGGACGTAGAAGTGCTCGCTGAACTTCGGTATGAAGATCGCACCTGCATCTTACGTGCGTGTAAGACGGCTTGGACATTGCATATGCTGCAGTCAGGCAGGTCAGGTAAGGAAGGCGAGCACTGTACAGGTATCCGAATAACACCCGGATGAAGATCTCAGCCGAATTGAGGGGCCTTGAATGCGATCATCAGTATATCCAGCCAACCTGCCGACAAGCTACTGAGCTCGATCCAATACAGGCATGGGCAGTGTACCTGATACACTTTTCTTCGCAGAGCATCTATTCGATGTATCCGAAAATCACAGCGGAAGTCCCATGCAACGAAGACTTCGACTGAGTCTGAGATTCCCCACCGCTGGAAGGAGATAGTGCCATCCGCCCGGCGGCAAAGCTCGCGGGCTTTCGGCTGGCGAGCTGCGTGGTCCCGCACGCATTTCACATGCCACTCCACCTCGGCTCCCATATCTGTCTTGGGTCTACTCTGCGGCTTGCACACGGTGAAATAAGGAGACTATGGAAGGTAAGCTGGAGAAAGTAACGAACAATACTTACTGTTCAAAACTGTCTGAGAGAGCAAGATTAAGAGAAAAGTTTAACATAAAAAAAGCTCTTATGCTGCCAGAGCTGGGAGCACCATCCAGGGACAAGGCCTCGCGGAGAGTGGGCACGTTTAATCTTTCTTCAGACGTTAAGAAGTTAAGAAGATGGCAGGATGTTGAACTTGGACGCTGCACGAGGTTTCCTGCAAATTACATGCCCCTGGGCCCAAGAGAGGCTTCAGTGCACCGGAAGCCGTGCTGCCGAACTCGGTACCAGGAGGGTCTCCACGTACGCCGTCTTCCCAGGACTGCTCTTGCGGTCGTCCTTCGTGGTGTCCCAGATGGTGACGTCTTTAACCAAGTTAGCGCTGTCCTGACACAAGCAGCCGTGGAGGCACTGCTCATACTCCCAGGCCTGCTGCTCCGTCTGGAACACGAGGAGCTTGTGGACCGTCAGAGTGACGTCTTGGTTCACGAGGCCTGCGCACGACTTATAGCGGTTTAGGCACTTGGTCAGCGCCGCCGCTACCTCGGCCTGCAGGAGAGTGGGGTCTGTGTACCAGCTGCTCTTCCCCACCTTGATGCACCGCGGCTCGGAGCCCTTGGCACAGAGCATCAAGCAGTGCACCAGCCCAAGCCTTGGCGTGTTTAGGAGCTTCCCGAATGTCACCCCGGCCTGTTGGCGCGCATGATGCGGAAAAGGGGGGGGGGCTTGGAAAGGCTGCTCACGCCGCTGACGCGGGACGCTGACACAGAGAGCCACGAGCCTCAGCAGCATGCGCGTGGGCTGTGGGGCTGCACTCTAAAAGCCTCCGGCTGCTGAACCTGTTTCGGGCTGGGAACTTGAACAGCAGAGGGTGGGAGCTCTGTGTGCTCAGAATTCTGTCCAAGTGACTGGCAGTGCAGGGTCCAGTGGCGTGCTGAGTTGGGCTATGTCCTTGATGCAGATCTGCTCGACCTGCTGCTCCCGCTTGGGAACTAGGGACAAGGGCTCGGCGTCCCTCGGCAGGACTCGTCGGAGGTTAGGCGGGAGCTCAAAAGGAGACGTCAGGGCTCGCCACTCGGACTCCAGCTCCTCGTTGAACGCAAACTTGCAGCCCTGCCAAACGCCTTTGGTTCCAGGGAAAACGTATAGGGCACAGCCCATACACCAGCCCAGCGTGCCCTCGTCTTCGTCCTGCGCCTGGATTGGGAAGCCACCGTGTCCGCCTCCTCTTGGTCGTCTGCAAGGTTTCATGGCAAGTCGCGCTCGACGTGCTGGACTTGAGCTCCGCCATGAACTCCCGGTTCTGCCGCGTCTGCTCTGCCAGCACATCCGCGAAGAACTGCCCGTCCTCTCGTTCTTGCTTGTGCCGTTTTTCCAGTGCCGAAACCTGGTCCTTGAAGAATTCCCGGTTGTTCGAGTTTTGCTGCTGCAGCGAGTTCAGCAGCAACTGCAGCTGCTTCTGGAAGAACGCCTGCTGGTCGGTAGTCTGCCGATGGCACCACTGCAAGATCGGCCCTAGCATCTGCTCCCTGGGCACTCTCACCAACTCTTGCTTGACCGGCACAAGCTGTGTCTCCGGCTGTCTCTCCGACACAAAAGCAGGAACCGTCGAGGCCTCCGACTCTTCGCCGAGGCCTCCGACTCCTGCTGCTCGCCGTTCTCGCCTGAGTCTACTACTCCGGCACCTCGAAGCCCTGCAGTGTCGAAGCTGGGAAGGTGCTCGTCGATCTGCTGTGTAGTTAAGGGACATCGGCCATCTGCTTCTTCCCTTAGTTGCTGCTGAAGCTGCTCTGCTTCCTTCGCAGCTTGAATCATCTCCTCCTGTGTCTCCGGCCCCGGCGGAGGGCCGAAGACCTCTATGCCGTAGCCACTACGGTGGAGCCCCTCCTCGGTCGCCATCGCCGAAGCCGAAGCTCTAAGGGGCTGACTGTGCAGCCGCCCCTGCTTGCAGCAGGGAAACCTCCTGATACCGAGTTCGGCAGCACGGTTTCCGGTGCACTGAAGCCTCTCTTGGGCCCAGGGGCATGCAATTTGCAGGAAACCTGGCGCAGCGTCCAAGTTCAACATCCTGCCATCTTCTTAACTTCTTAACGTCTGAAGAAAGATTAAACGTGCCCACTCTCCGCAAGGCCTTGTCCCTGGAAACCCACGCTGTATTGACACGCAGAAAGGTCATGGCCTTGATCATGCAAAGTGAGTGAGTCACCGCACCATGGAGCGGAAGTCAGCTTGGCCAGGAAGTTCTTTCGGCGAGAAGATCATGATTGTGGTCGGATCCTCACCCCATGGGTTGAGAGAATCAGAGCGGGTCACTGGGTCAAAGTACTTCTGAGGGACTCCGTGCCTTTCATGTGGCTGATGGAAACCAACCAGAGTCTGAAACCAGCTCAACACTCATGGCTCCTCTTCAAATTGTAGGACGATGTTCAAGACCTCCACGAGGCTGAATGAAGCATGAATCTGCATAAAAGGAAGCCTCCTTGAAGCGAGCCGTTCAGGACTTCTTTTGCAACGGCCTCGGCAAGGTCGCAACTGCCAAGACAGCGCTTCATCGTCACCTGTCACAAGCAATAGTAGGAAGGAGGTGTGTTTTCTCGACGCCTTGTTGACGGGAGGCAGCGGATGATATAGACGGAAGCACAGGCACAAGTTGCAGCGATCGCACGTTTCTTGCAAGCACATGTTATATGTTGCATCCTATCTCCCAAATTATCTCCTACTAGTACTAGAAATATATTAAAGCTGATCTACAGCTGCACATTCCTGTTCTACCCTGCCTCCAACGAGGATGCAAAGGTTCCAAGTTGCAGGTGCACGCCTCACAGCCACAGAGTATTTGCTGTCTGCCACAATCCCAAGGCATGGCCTGGTGTACTTGAGATTGCCATGTGCTCCTGGCCTTCAGGAATCTTCATCGCCTGCCGACTCGCCACCATATGCTTTGGAGGAACCTCGCCATCAAAGGCGACAGAGTAAGTTTCACGGCTCCACAACAGAAGCTTAGGCTTACCGGTCTTGCGGCCGAGCGCTACTTCTGTCGCGGCGAACGCTCTCATTGGAAGCACGAAGCGTGCACATTCATAATTGATGCATCCACCACTCCGTGGCCTCGCCGAGCAAGTACAGCGCCTGCGCACAAGAGTTTGAAATCCAACCCACGCAGCTTTGCCACTGACTGTCCACTGGTATGAGAAGCTACTGTACCCACCATGAATGCAGCCGACTCCTGATTTCATCTGGAATTTCAACACGAGTCCAGAGAAAGCCTGCCTCTCTCGGTTTCTAGCCCGCGTGACACAATCGCTGCCGAACTTGCAAGCAGCAGGCGCAACGAAGGTGACAAATGGCATTCCGAAACAATCCGAATCGAGTCAAAGCAAAAGTCAGGCCATCTCGATCAGTTCTCACACAAGTTTCGCATCCCTGAACGCTAAATTTCTGCTATGCGAAGAGCCCCCCAAGGTGGCCCCGGTCTCCTGGGCACCAGCGCCGGCCAGCCGCTTTAGTCGGCCCAGGCCCTTCAAGCGGCCCAGCGGGGCTGCCAGGGCCACTCGGAACTGGCGGAACATGGCACAGAACATGGCAAAGAACACAGTTTAGGGTTAAGGGTTTAGGGTATGAGATGGCTTGAGGGTTAAGGGTTTGAGGGTTTGGGGCAAGTTTAGGGTTTAGGGTAACTGCTACCAACGTGCCCTCCGATCCGGCAACTTCTTGTGTGGCTTTGCTGTGGCAATCGTCCACGTGATGGCCTCCTGGTCCCAAAGGCCAGGAAATGCCCGCAGAAGCGATGTCGTGCCTCGGGCACAGAATAACGAGAAGCACGAGTCTGTCCGGTAGGGCAACCTGTGGCGGTCTGTGCCAATCTCTAGAGCTGTCGGTCTTTACTAAGGCCGCGAGCAAAGAAAGAAGTTCTTGGTGTTGTCGCTCCCAGCGCCACCCCGATACAGGGCATCCTCTTGTGGCAGCGTGAGCACTCTGTAAGGGGGGGGGGCAGGGGCAACCCCTAAACGATAAACCCTAAAACCCAAAACCTAAACCCTAAACCCTAAACCCTAAACAACTGCGACAACTCTTCTGTGCCTCCCCGAAGCCGAAGTCCAGAGGCTTGGTGCCGAAGCGTGAGGCCAGCGCCTCGCGAGCGTGGGCCTGGACGGAGGAGCCTCTTATGCAAACTTGCTCGTTTCACCTGGCCCTGGGCTATCTCCGCTCTTCGGGCTTCCTGTCGAATGAACCCTGTCCTGCAATAAGAGAGCTTGGGGACACAAGAGATTCAAGAGATATCAACGTCTAACGGCACGGAGCGCAAGAGCCTGCATAATGAATGAGAAAGAAGCTCACTCAACGTTCTTAAACTACCTGCGCCGTAGATAAACCACCACTGATGTGGCGAATCAAACCGAACTTGACCAATGTAGTCGGCCTTTCGTGCAAGGTGCGCGGAGAGCCACAAGTCGTCGTGAAGCTGAGCGGGGAGCAGCTCATCTCTGCTCATACAGCACATCGGTAACTTCAATTCGACCAAAGCAGATGCTGTCGCCAAATATGACAAAGAGAAGGGCCGACCTCTGTCTGTTGCAAATGCACCTACCAGTACTGTGTCATCTTGCCCTGCCTGACAGTGCTTTGAGAAGCCCGTGTAGTCAAACACGCTCTCGTCGAAGAACTTTCGACGAAAAAGCACGCCGTGGACACCTAGTAGCTTTCAATCGCAGTACTGCAACTTAATTCGACCCTGGTGTGGTGATAGCGCAGGCTTTCTGAGCCTCCAGTTGATGAGCCTGCCTACCTTTCATCCCCCCTCAACAATTCTTCTGCCGCCGATTGCCTTCCAAGACGACGCCGCTGAGGTGTAAGTGTGCATGCCTGAGTAATGCCAAATTCTCGGGTCCCCGCTATCTCACTGCTGAAGGATCATCAAGTCCCGGCATTAGGGCGTTACCAGTTTTAGGGCATCATTTGTGCCGCACCCGCCATGCACAGAACTCATACAAGTCCCTAGGAGCATATTCTGTCTCTTCACCTTGGACTCTGTAGATGGTCGCATATGGTCACCCAGCTTCCTTTGGCTGCAGTTCGGGACACTGCGTGGCTGCGCCGACAGCGCGCCCCGGCGCTGGACCCCCAACAAAGAGCAGCGTCTCCTGCACCACACTGGCCCACAATGCTACCAGGCTGGTCCCATGACTCAGTACAGGATTTGGGCAAGGGAATCTGCAGCTCCAGCAACCGCGGCCCGTAGCTTTGATCGTCGTCCACCTTGCCAGGGCATGCCGACACCCCACCGAGTTTGGGAGGTCAGGAAGAGCCTGGAGGATGGCAGTCTCTGGATCTCGCTCGGCACGGAGGACTTCCTCGGACCAAGGCTTCCCAAACCGACAGAAAAGGCCTTTTCATAGTGCGCGTATAGGTTGACTATCCCATCAGCTATCCATGTCTTCCGAAATGGTCGTCCTCGTTCATTGGTATCGGTGGGTTCTCTAGGGCTCCATGTGTCTCCTGCTGCATGTGCCCATTTCCCATCCATCTGTCTGAGATTTTCTGCTAGGTGCCGGATGACGCCGAATGAATACCTTTCCGAACCAAGAGTCTCGAGGCAGGTCCTTTCTCAGGATCTTCTTTCCCTAGCTACTATCACACCTTTTCACTACAACAAACTCAGCCGCCATGTTCTTGCGGCCTTCCTGCATACTCGAAATCGAAGTCCTCTGGACATACGCTGAGCAGTTCATACCAGCTTCCGTTCTGATTTGCTGAGGCGGATTGTACGCAGCCTTCCCTGCAAGTTGTGTTTCAACTTCTTCTTCATCACAAGCAGCTAGCAGCTAGCCTCTGCAGGGTGCTGCTTGTTCGTCAGGAATGCCGCAGATCTGCGCTCTGACGGAACATGTTACACATGAACTTCCAACTCTGTCTGACTGGGACCCGCATCTTCTCCCCGACGAAAGTGCCCGAAAGGATGCAGTGCCAGCTTGGTTGGGCAGTGGCGTTTGGATCTGGCAGCTGGTCGCATGTTGCGGCTGCTGCTGTTGTTGCTGTCACCAGTTTTGTCTGTACTAAGGTAAAGGAAACAAATGACAAAAGCTCCTCGTCGTCCTGGTCGTCGTCGTGGTCGTGGTCGTGGTCGTGGTCGTCGTCGTCGTTGTTGTTGCTGCCGTTGTTGCCGCGTGCTGCTGTTGTGGTTCTCTCATTGTTCCTTGCGCAGGACTCCCAGCCCAGTTGAGTCACTTGGTGTAGCACTGGCATGTCGATATTTTGCTGCTTGTAGCTTGAGCATCGCGAAGAACCACAAAGTCGACCTCGCACGTTCATGGCGAGGCGCCATCATGTGGGTTGAAGGCCCCCAGTCCTCACGAGCAGCATGTTTTGAGGAAAGGATGTACGGCAAGAGCTGCGGAGGCTTGTGCAAGAGCTAAGTACTTTGGGTAGGACCAATATCAGAATCGGAGTTGCCTGCAACAAAACTCTTGGCTCCCAGTCCTTGCAGCGGACCAAGCGCAAACGCGGCTCTGCAAGCTTCGACGTTAGCCAAGAAGGTATCCTTGGGTGCCCGACAGCTCGGCTCTGCTGGCATCGCGGTCAAGCTCCGAGACAAATGCAGAGTTAGCTCGGAAGTCCAACACTGCCGCACCAACGCCTGTGTCCAAGGATTTATTATGATCAGAACATCACCAGAATCCGCCAAGTGGCGTGTACGTGGCATTCTCGCGCTCGAAAACCTGAGCACAGAAAATCGAAGATCTCAACTGTCAGATATGGGCCATTCTGCGAAACTCCGAAACAATGCACAGCACCAAGCACATCGTCTCGCGCCTCTGGCACGAACAAATAGACCAAGTCCAAAGGCCATGTTTGGGTGAGCAGGCTGTCCTGCAAGCACTTGACTAAACGACAGCTATAGGGGCCTTGGGGGGCATTACAGGGGCATTCCGTGTCATGCAGGTTGTGATATGCAGCCTGAACGTGATTACGTAGACAGTTTGAGGCAGAAAAGAAAGACAGTGGTCCAGAGCGGGTTCGATCTGTGAGATCCGCCGAGGCGTTGTGCTTAAGGTGGCCACAACGCGAAGGCCGTGCCATGGCCTGAGAAGCTCTCGAAGACTCTGTGGGTAAATGCAAGAATTAGGGAAGCGGCCTCCCACCTATCCGGGCCAAACACGAAAGCTGGCAAATATAGTCCCAAACCGTCTCAAAGTATGACAAAATTTAAAACATGTATTGCCAATTCTTGCGGTGCCAGCCGCAGCTTCTCTCCCTCTTCTGCCTTCTTCTTCCAGACCCGAATCTCCTCAGGTCCGGCGTGCTTAAAGTGGCAGCTTCTTCAGTCCTCTGCTTCTCCTCTTGGGACAAAGACTGACCCCCTTCTTAAAAGCCGCCTTCTTCAAGACGCCTCCTTCCCTTATTTTGGCTTCTTACTTTTCGATGTAAACTCTTCTGCATTCCCAGACACTCTTGACAACGCCTTTTCGCGTGGATTCTCTTCGTCGAAGGCTCGAAAGATATCCTGGGAGTCCCACAAACATGTGCCTTTTCTATATACCGCTTCGTTCACGAAGTTGCAAGAGGAGCCAAGCGCGACAACGGATGAGTGATGCATGCTCGGCATGTCAACCCCGACCCTCCTCCAGTGAGCCGCAGAGGATGAGCCTGGCAAGGCTGCAGGGAGCTCTGTCATTGCTCTCGTTCAGCGACTGTGGCCCCATAACTTCTAAGATCTTTGCACGGGGCAAAATTGGAGCAGCAGACAGAGCGAGAGGGAGGGAGGGAGGGAGGGAGGGAGGGAGGGAGGGAGGGCGAGAGGGAGAGACAGAAACCAGACACATGTTTGGGAAGAGATTGGCAAGAGACCTGCAGTGGCAGAGCCCACTGCCCGCCAGGTTTCACTCCCGCAAGCATGCCGTGCTCAAGAAGGCTATGTGCTATCCCTACTCCGACATGGCAGATCGTGGCAGCTTGGGAGCCAAATGAGCCAATGATGCTTCTCGGCCAAATAGGGGTGTGTCAAGTCATCTTGGTCTTGCCTGCTCAAGATCCAAAGCTGCAGCCACATCCGCCATGCAGAACTGCACGGCGACAACTTGATATACACTTATGTAGTGGCTAGGTATTGTTGGTTCTGGTATCAAAGCCATTGAGCCCAGCTGGCTCATATGCCGGGCGCAACTGCAGCGATCACTAGAGCCGCTTCTGGTTTCTACAACCTTTTTGGTAAGCATGGTGTGACGTACGTAGTACGACTTTTTACGAAGCCATGCGATGGAGGCATATTCGCCTCGGCTTCTGGCGCCCTTCCCGGCACCAACAAAGTTGTGGGCCACCCACCCACCCGTCCCCTCGCCTGTGGGAGCCGCCCGAACCGCTCTGCAAAAGACCCGGGGGCCAGGCAGTAGGCCCCTCCCACAAAGATCGCGTAAAATCAAAAACTGTTCTTGAAAGCATTCTTTTTGAGACCTTGGGACCTGGACCCCCCTTGGAACTTGGAGGCATTTTTGCTGGCGTACCCTGGTTCCGCCCCGTGACCTGGACGAGATGTTGCAGGATCAGGATCTTTCCACGCAAGATCATAGGAGTGGGGCGGAACTGCACCTCAAACCCTTGTCTGGGATGTCTTGCTGCTAGTTGCTTGGACTGCAGATATCCTAATCCCGGCCCCCACGATTCTGAAGCCCTACTGCCTAAACCCGCCCCCTCTGGCCCCGGCCGAGGCGGGTCGCATAGCGTGAAAATCTCCACAATAGGATTGTGCAGTAAACAAGATGGCTTCCTTAGTATTGTGGTATATTGTGGTAACTTAGTGTTCGTGGGAAGTCCTTGACAAGAACCCAGCCGGACCCAGCCCCCTTTCAAATGTGCTGCCTAGACAGACCCTCCGACACGGTGCTCTAGCTCCGCTGCCCTAACGGCTCATAGAGCCAGCTGATGGCCAAACAGAATCAGTTCTTGGTTGAAACCGCTTTCAGTTCTTCTGCAAAAACGGCCGTTCATTCAGCAACTTGTTTGCGGCATGGCAACCATCGGCTCTTTGGCCTTGCAGAGTTTCCAAAAAATGTTCGAAGCTCCACGCAACGCGCAGATGTGAAACAAGTTGGCGTCACAGCAGTTTCTTCTCAGGATGGACTTTCTGTAGTTCCCTAAGGATCCGCCAAGCAGCAAAGAGAATGAACAGGGCAACACATGTCAACAGTGGCAGGACCGCCAATGGAAGGTTAGTCGATTGGCAGCGGGAGAACTCCACTCCAAGATGGGTTTGTGGATCGGCTTCATGGAAGCTCTCATTCTTCCAAGGGCCAAGTGGAGGCTCGTCGCTGACAGGAGCTGAATAGTACCCTGGTGAAATGCTCCCTCCAGCAGGCCCAATCTTCCAGGTCCAAACATAGAAAATGGCGCACAGCTGGTGTCCCGAGATTTGTTGAAAGACAGGGTGGCCGTTTTGCATTCCAGTCTGCCGGTATTGGCCATTGCAGTGTTCAGAAGTTCCACTTGCCCCAGCGACTGCGTATTCGCAAGGTTCCGCTCTCTCACAAACATTGACTCTTGGAGAACCTTTGGAACAAGAACTGCACGGGATGTTCATCCACTTGCCTTCAGATGGCTCTGAAGAACCTGGAGCCATGTAGAACCACTGGTCGGTTCTGTTGGCGCCACTTATCTTCCACTGTTGAACGTGATGCAGAAGGCATTCCCCATCAATTTGCTGAAACACCGGCTTCCCGTCGCTCTGGCCATTGCCAATGGTGTACATGCCATTGCAACAAGACCCATCACCACCAGCACCCGACACCTCGTAGTCTCCGGTCTGATCCCTCATGGAAACCACTGGCGGAGGATCGGCAAAACCTGGCATGTAGCCTGGGACAGCTTGCAGATGCAGACAACGCATGATCCCACTTAGCATTTGCATGCTTCATATGCGGGACCAAGTGTACTTGCTTGTATGTCTTATATCATTCCACAGATGCAAGATTTCCGCGGCGCTCTCTCTGTTCACTGCGTCATCTGCGAGCATTTGTGTTTCTCTATATATATTGATGTCGAAACCAGCCCCGTTGCTATCTTCGCTGGGGCCGTTGTTTGGTGGACCCCGCTTGCATCGCTTGCATCTACGCTTGCGCCTGAATCACTGCTCTGATCTGCTCTGCTACCACGTACTATGTAAACACTCACAGATACAGACATTGATTGACATACACGTACAGAATAAAAACAAACAAAATGTATACATAGACACTAATTAATTTATATGTTTGCTTATTCTGCTGAAAAAAATACGGGTTACGGGGGGGGCCAAGGAATACCCACAGCGTCCCAGAATTTCCCTGCGACATCCTACCCCTTACGTGAATGTATATACACATATCCACTGGTGATGTTTCGGTGAACGTTCGTTTTCTTGGTCGTTGGCACATGTTTGCATCTATCTTCTTATATGACTGTATACTATATGGTATATTCATCTCTTTTGGTTCTGCAAACTTGCGACTACCCCATTCGTTTCCTGCTTCTCTGGCCTCTGGTGGTCCATTGACCCAAAGGTGGCAAGGCTGTAGTGGGACTTAGGAAGGTCCGCTTGCCAGTGGTGTTCATCATCCAGAAATCATCCCAGAAAATTATGGAATCTCCGCCAATCTGCTCGTACAAGGGTTTGCCCTCGTGCTGCTTGGCATGCACATATTTACCATTGCCAGTTGCCTGGGATCCAATCATTCCTGTAACGTGCAACTCGCTGTCGCAGCTGGAGTTTGTGCACATGGAGATCGTTGGGGGCTCGTCTTCACATATGCAAGGCCCATCTGACATTGAAGTCGGTCTCCAGTTGCCATCAGTGGGCGGAGCTTGGCTTCCTGAAGGAACAAAGATGGCAGTGGCATCCCAGTCGTTGTTCTCATCATCATCGAAGAATGGACCAACCTGATTGATGGCCAACCTCCATTGCATTGAGGTGCCCCAGAAGTAGACAACACCTTCTCCTGACTGGTGCTGGGTCGCCATGCGATGCGTAAATGCCGAACAGACATAGAAACGTATGGGCATTTCATGGTATTTCCGAAAATGGGGATGGCAACCCTTTTGGGGTTCCTGTTCTCAGGGTACTCCTTTTTGAGGATCTAACTTATCAAAACGTTTGTTGCGCCAACCCTGCCTGAGGTCTTGAGATAGAATGGCTTCCCAACATGGCTCCCAGCCAGACGATAATCGCCGTTGCAGAAGCGAGCCCCATCCACACCTCCAGAAACAACGTAGTCACCATAACAGTCCATCTGGACCGACAGGAATTCACAAACCAGCAGACACCAAAAAGCTTCCACAGCACGGCGTATCACCAAGCTCACTCCTCTACCACGAGGGCCAGCAGCACTTTTGCAGAGGTAGCCGGCCAAGACTTGCACCATCGGCGAGTTTTCCCGCAGGGCTTTCACAAGTAGACCCAACGCAAACAAACAGAGCCAGACCTGAGTTGCCAAGCAACGGCTGGATTGCATCTTCAGGGTTCAGCATCATAGGATGTACCGTTTCGGGAGCATGAACGCTGTGCTTAGTTCTTGTCTTCTCCTCAAGAAAGGGATCGCCCAACTCAGTTTTACCGTTTCGGGAGCATGAACGCTGTGCTTAGTTCTTGTCTTCTCCGGGCTCAAGAAGGGATCGCCCAACTCAAGCAGCTTTACAAGGAATCGACTCCTTGTCCGGCAAGGGATGTGACAAAGGGTAGCTAGGCTAGAAGCACAGTTCCTCGGTCAGGATCTATTCAGCTCACTATGGACCGTCTTGACTTTTGAAAGGGGGGAGGGGGCTAAAGGTAGGCAGAAGGAACAAGCAAGGAGGTGGCTTGCAGGGTGGCAGCCAAGGCTGCAACCTCTTGTTCGGGCTGTGTTTGTCGCTGATGGCTGGCATTTCGGCATAGACTGCAGTTTCGAAGCATGATGGCGGCCTGCGGCCAAAACCTAAACCTTTCAACCTTTCAAACATGATGTGTGCAATAAAACGCGAGACCGAGGAATGAAGCGATATAGCCAGCATTGAAAGGGAAACTAGCGTCTCAACAACTAATTTAGTGATGTGGCCATCAACCGCCATCCTCCATAGAACCTTCCAAGATGAAACGCAGAAACTTAGATTTTGTCAGCCTGTGACACTCTATTCAACACGCAAAATAGACATCCGGCCGTGCCACTGGCTTTCAAAAGCACAATGCGTATTTCAATGGGAGAAACCACATTCTTGAAAGTCTATTTGTGTTTCGAGCATGTCCTGCCGGAAACACATTACTGCCATTATCGAAGCAAGGCAGGTCACGCATGACAGGTTCAAGACCCTTTCAAATCAAACTTTTCACAACTCCATCCCTGTGCATCCCAGCTCTCTGTTCTGCTAAAGCTTGCCCGGGTAAGAGTTTCTGTTTGAGCTGAGGCACGAAGGACCATGGCGATTCGGACCACCATCTGATCTGTCTCATCAAGTGAATGTGCAAGTGCAAGGAGACAATCCGCAGGATCCGGGCAGGCATGGCACCAACCACCGTCCAGGTCCATGATTCGGCGAGGTACGAGACTTGCCTGGGCATGGCACCTATGATCCAAGCATGTTCGTCAGCAGCACGGGGTTCTTGCGGTTCCTGACCCATGATCAAGGGGTCAACCTGAAGCGCCACACCTATCATTTCCACGGCCACCCATCCCATGACGATGAGCCAGTGACCCCACTGCACGATCTCTGAACCATTGTACTCCTTGAAGCCTGTGGGGTCAGTACAAGCAGCATAGATGTACCAAAGTAAATAGCTCAGCATGGTCATCAAGAGCCAGAATGTGAAGCTTTGACCTTCATATGCCCCGTTTACGGCAGCTTGGTGCGGCTCGCGCAAACGCATCCCGAAATATTCCTTGAAGCCAACTGCAGGTGTGGCGTGGCTCCTCTTGATCAGGAGGATGCAGGCAGCAACAAAGACAAATAGAAGGACCACCCACAGCGCTGCAAGGGCAATGTCGGTCAAGACTCCTTCTCCTTCGATCATCAGAAATATGATGGCAAGCAGTAGCCGAGCTGCGAGGAACTTGTAAGAGCTCCATGGTTTTTCAAGACCTTGGATCATGTCTTTGCAGAGATCAACCTTCCATTTCTCAGCTGCGTAGTGGTCTTCCAACTGCTCCAAGCTCTCTTTGTAGATGTTCAAGGCTTCCATCTTGTGATTCTGGACTTGAAGGCATCTCCCAAGGGCAAAACGACACCAGAACATGTCCTTTGGCAACGATTGGGTTTCTTTGCTGCAACACACACAAACATGTTCATTGCAAGACTGCCAGCAAAAAAAGAATCTGCGCAAAAAGCCTGTGGACATCACACGCTTCTTTCGGACAAGGCTCGAGTTGGTTTTCCTCTGAAGACTCCGCCAGGCTTGACAGAGCAGCTTCCAAAAGACTCTTTGCTTGGTCCAATCGCTCAGGAGAAGGTTGCTGATTTGTCCATGACAATGCCAGATTCACTTGACATTCTACAGTTTGTGGATGGGTCTCCCCCAAACTCTCACGAAGATCTTCCAAAGCCTTTTCCAATAACTGCTCTGCTTCATTGAAATGCTCCAATGCTTGAAGAACATAGGCCAAATCTTTCCTGGCAGTTGAGGTCCGCGGGTGCCTCTCTCCCAACAAATCCTCAGAATGCTTCAAGATGCTCACAAGGTCGCCCTTTGCTTTGTCAAATTTGCATTGTTTTCTGTAGAGATTGGCCAAGGTATGCTGAGCTTCCAGGGTGTCTGGGTGCTGCTCACCCAGTTGTTTTAGGCATTGCTCCCTCACGGCGGCAACCAGTTGTTCCGCTTCCAGCAGTCGACCCTGTTTCTCCAGCAACGCTGCCAGACTCTGCTGAGACGTCAACCAAGCTGAAGTGGTTTCTCGCTGCGCCGCGTTCAGATTCCAGAAGCGGATGGCCAGCACCTGCCGGTAAAGTTGCTCAGCTGTGTAGTGCTCGCCCTGCAATGCAAAAATGTCAGCAAGAGCATGTCGCGCAGGCAAGGCATCAAAGGACAATTTGCCGCTTTCCTCAGGGACGGCTTTGTCAATTCTAACCCTCCATCTCCAACTTGCCCAGAGAAAGAAAACAAACAAAGAAACGTCCCCTGCGTTGGCTCTTCGAAATTGCTGCAAACAACCCGAAAACCCCGAACTTCCTACACCAAAGAACCATCTGAAACCCTAAAACCCTGAACCCCACCAAAAACCTGTCCTTCTCCAATTCTGCCAGGGTCTGGAGTTGCAGCCTCTCGGCGTCTGCGTGATGCTGGGGACCCTTCAGGCTCAGCACTGCAGCAAGCCTGCACAAACAAAGGATGTAGCTTTTGAGGGTTTTAGTGGTGTAGCGTGTTAGGATTTGGGGTTTGAAGGTTTTCAAAGTTGCCACTCTAGCACCCTTCCATAGTACACACTGCAAATAGTTGAGAGTGTTATTGGATCTTCATTCTCCTTGTGAATGGGAGAGTGACAGACTTGGGAGGCTCTTAGGTTCACATGTCTTGCCAGACTGCAACGCGGCCGCAGCATATTTGCGAATGTCAGGAAGCAAATCTGCGAATGCCCCCTGTTGAATGTTAGCATTGAGTACTTCCTGTCGAAGCAACGTGAGTTTGCAGATCATCTCACGGACTTGTTGGGTCTGGGATTCTCATCTGTAAAACCTTTGGCTTGTGTGCCCGTCTGTGTGAACACTCCACTGCGCATGACCAGCTAAGCGGGAAAAAGTCAAGCCACAACAACCGTGGTCCTAGACAAATTGGTCCGTTGATCTTGTCGACACCCAACCTGGTGAAGCCCACCCTTCGTGGAACACTCTCTGGGATGAATGAGTCCGCCATATCACCGCCCGGCCTGATGTTCACCCTATGCCTGGCAACTGAAGGGGGCAGAGTCTCTGTCGCCTTGCAATAGAGCCGCTCTGCAGCCTCATAGTTGTCCTTGCCACCTTGCTTCGCATAGACTGCTGCCAACCTGCAACCATCATGAGAATAGTTGTGGCGGAATGATGATGAGATCTGTTGTTGGTGTTCAGTGGTCTCTCCATGCCTTCTCATGACTCGTTTTCAAACCTTTCGACGCCACATGATGCTACCGTGTCCCACCTGCATCTCGCAACGCGAAGCTCTTGAGCCTCCCCAGCCATTTTCTTCGCCATGGCTTTTTCACGCTCTTGTAAGACTTTCACCAGACTCGCTTTGGCATTTGTAACCTTGACTTCCTGGCCAGCTACAGACTCCGTCCGAATCACAAACCTGTGTTCTTGCGAAGGAACAAAATCACGTTACCGTAACAAGGAAACATAAGGAAATCACATAGTCTTTACTACATAGTCCCCATTCCGGAAACTTGATTTAAGTTCCTGAACAAGAACCCAGAAACACCTCAGTTCCTGGTCTCATCTCCTTGCCGTGCAAATTCATTTTCGGAGGTCGGCGCGCCGCTGCCATCTCCTGGGCTCTTGTTCAGAAACATCCGCCGACCCCCTTTGTCGGCGTCAAGAAGCTGGACTCGTACCTTTCCCGCTGGACCCGCTAGTGCCCCTCCCCATGGACCCGCGCGGCCTCCCCCCCCCTACCTCCCAAAAGCAACCGAATTTGTTGTTTTGGCGGGCGGAGAAGAGGGTGGAACCACGCCTTTTGTGTTGGCTGCACCCTACCCCTGCCTAGCCCCCCCCCACAGGAGAAGGACCAAAAGCTTTGTGGCGGGTGGGTGGACCACGCGTTTTGTGTTGGCTGCACCCTACTACCCCCCCCCCCCTCCCTCACCCCGTACCCCCCCCCCTCCCCCCCCGCCCCTAGCCCCCCCCCCCCAGGAGAATGACCAAAAGCAACCGAATTTGTTGTTTTGGAAGGCGGCCAAGTGGGTGGAACCACGCGTTTTGTGTGCTGCACCCTACTACCCCCCCCCCCCCTCCCCCCTACCCTCACCCGTACCCCCCCTCCCCCCCCCTGCCCCCTCTGCCTAGCCCTAAGGCGGCCGCCCCCTACCCTCACCCCGTACGGCCCCCCTTTCCCCCGCCCCCCTACCCCCCTGCCTACCCCCCCCCAACAGTAGAAGGCCAAAAGCACACGCATTTTTGTTTGTGGAAGGCTCCCCCTCCCCCCCCCCCTCGCCTCCCCCCTGGCCCCGCGCCTAAGCCACCCCCAACAAAAAGCAACCACTCTTTTGGTTTGAAAGCCAAGTCATTGGAACCACACGTTTTGTGTTGGCTGTCACCCTCCTACCCCCTATCCCTCACCCTTACCCCCCCCCCCCTACCCGCCCTGCCTATCCCGAATTTTGTTTGAAGGTGTCAAATTGGTGGAACCAACGCGTTTTGTGTTGGCTGCACCCCCGTTAACCCCCCCCCTCCCCCCCCCCCCCTACCCCCCTGCCCCCACAGGAGAAGGACCAAAAGCAACCGAATCTGTATTGGAAGGGGGCCGAGTGGGTGAACCACGCGTTTTGTGCTGCACCCTACAACCCGCCCCCCTCCCCCCTGCACCCTACTACCTACCCCCCCCCCCCTCCCCCTATACCCTCCCCGTAACCCCGCCTAGCCCGCCACCACAGGAGACTGACGATTCGTTGTTTTGGAAGGCTGCAAGTGGGCGCCGTGTTTTTGTTGCTGCACCCTACCACCCCCCCTCCCACCCCTACCCTCACCCATACCCCCCCCCCCCCCCTCCCCCCGCCCCCCCCCCACCCCCCTGCCTAGCCGCCCCGCACAGGAGAAGGACGCAACCGAATTTGTTGTTTTGGTAGCCCCCCCCCAACAGGAGAAGGACCAAAAGCAACCGAATTTGTTGTTTTGGAAGGCGGCAAGTGGGTGGGGAACCATGCGTTTTGTGTTGGCTGCACCCTACTCCCCCCCCCCCCCCCCCCCCCCCCCCCCCTACCCCCCTGCCTAGCCCCCCCCATAGGAGAAGGACCAAAAACAACCGAATTTGTTGTTTTGGAAGGCGGTCAAAACCACGCATTTTGTGTTGGCTGCACCCTACTACCCCCCCCCCCTCCCCCCTACCCTCACCCCGTACCCCCCCCCTCCCCCCCTCCCCCTACCCCCCTGCCGAGCCCCCCCCCACAGGAGAAGGACCAAAAGCAACCGAATTTGTTGTTAAGTGGGTGGGTCCGGAAGAGAGCCCGGTGCCCGGACGTCCTTATCTTGGGGGTCGGCGGCAGCGGCGTCAGCCTTTAAATAAACTAGTGTTTCGATAGTGGGACAACACAATTAGATGGTAGATACTAGGGTTTCCTTCCTGTTATGGTGAGGTAACTTAAGTTCCTGAACAAGAACCCAGTCTCAGGGGTCTGCCGCACGCGGATGTCATAGGTATGGGATTCGCTCGCAAGGACTGGGATGCAGTACTCCACACGGTTGTGCTTTTCGCTGTTCTTGTCCGTGCCCAATGCAACTCCGTAGTTGTTGATAAGAAGTTCTTCCAGGGACTCCCATTCATCTGGCGGCTTTCGAGTGGTGTACACACCTTGCCCCCAGTACGCATTGAAATGGTGTTCCTTGGGATTCTTGTCAGGTTCTGGCATGATCAAAGAGGCAAAAATCTCTGCATCCTTCTTGGTCGGGTCTGTGATATTGCGAAAACCCAAATAGCTCGTGTAATGAAAATACACCTTCGCATCCTGGTCATGGGATAAATCCACAGCGTCGGCCCATACTTTGATTCCGAGTCGTCGATACAGCCAAACCCATTCTTCTTCGATGAACTGGTAGTCCTCGTGGTTGAAGCAGCCGCCTTTGAGGTACTCATCATCAAAAAACTTGTGAAGACTGCCTACAGCATCCAGTCTGTCAGGTGCATCTGCCACATCGTCATCCATGGCTGCAAGCTGGCTTTGGGTTTTCGGAGCTCATGCACTTCACGACTTCACAGTTCATCAAACAGTGATTCCGACGGTAGGTGGATCACATCCACTGAAACCATGCCATTTAGGAGCCTTGTCTGGTTTGCGACTAAGGAGCTCCAACTGCCTCAATCTTGAGCCAATGAAGAGAAAGCTCGATAATGTAGGGCGCTCTGATCAAGCCTTGAAGAATGTAAATGTGGTTCGGAGGTGAATTGGATTGCATATACATATTCTGCCCAATTGGCTCGAGGTCTACTCGCGCGGTTGGTATCAAAAGTTCCACGACACCTGCTATCAAGAGCGTCTGGGCGTCTCAGAAAATCTCCTAAAAGTCTGGGGCGGTTCTGGGGATAAAGCTGGGCGACTGCGATAACTTGGCCTGCATGTTGTGACCTGGCAACACTCAGCCATTCCAACACTTCGAGGCAATCTGGAAGGAAGGCCGATGTGCATGGAAGTCTTGGAGCATGAAACGAAAACAGAATGTGCAGCATGTTGCTATCGAAAACTTATATAACCCTGGCATGTGCTCCCAGTGTGGCGGAGGTGGCCTTTTTTTTTGGCGGCTACGCAGCTACTAACCCAGACTGATGATCATATACTTCGGGGCGACAGCTTTTTAGCTGATCATCTCCCAACGCAAATTCTTACATCAGTAGGTTGTTCTTCGCTCTCGATTCCCACTTCCATGCGCTTGATTCTCCTGATGATGTAGCAGGTGTAGATGGAAGTTGCAAACGCCAGAAGCATCGCAACAAGCACGAAAACCCGTGAAATCCCTGAAGAGCATTCCGACATGATGGCATTGTGTTCCTCTGTTGCGTTGCTCCCAACCCATTTCCATGGCCCCAGGGGAAGCTTCCCCTGGCCCGGACCAAAATATACCTGCGGAACCGAAATGCTTTCGGCCGCGTCCATCTCCAGCTTCAGCATCCAACGGCCACCATCCGAAAATTCCAAATGAGCGTCACCAGAGGTCTTTTCGAAATGAGGCCTGCCATTTTTCTCTGTGGAAAAATGGTATTCACCATTGGCGCGGTCATGTGGATGAGCCAGTTCACTCACGACATACGTCTTCTCACTGCACTCACTGCACCGGGACACCACGGCTCCGGAGTAAGAACAATGGCATGGCTTGGCGGAGGCCCACTGCCCGGTGGGAGGTGTCAACTTCTTCGGCTCGGCATAATGCCAGACGTCCATCGCCTGTGGACTGAAGGAGCTGTTCCTGCATCGCATCTTCCATCTGCCGATGGAGTCGAGAGAAATCCAGCCTTCCCCAGATGTCTTTCGGTAAAAGCTTTTGCCACGCCCGTAAACCTGAGAAAATTCAAGCGAGTCAGCCCTGAAAAGGCTGTAGTTGCCATTGCAGCTGGAACCCACACCCCCTGCTCCAGTCACTATGTAATCAACGTCGCATCCCTCGCACATCGTGACAGTCGGCGCTGGGTCGGCATTGCTTCCGCATCCTCCATCAGTGATCCACTGCCCAGTGGGCAGCTGTTGGGAAACGGGAGGTTCATACAAATAGTCCAGCGTAAATCCTGGATCAAGTTCTTGTTGCACTGCACGCGTGGTCAGTTTCCAGGTGGATTGAAAATATATTTCTGCATGTCCATTCGCATGCCTGTAGAAGGGTCTGTTATTTTTCTCTCCAGCATAGGTGTAGTTGCCGTTGCAACCTAGGCCCTTACCACCCGCACCGGTCACCATAAAATCACACCCAGACTCGCAGGAATCAACACGCGGTGGCAGACCAGAGCATTCTTCACAGCTTGGATTGATCCATCGGCCAACAGGTGGTTGGAATTCCTTGGGCCCCCAATAAACTCCAGATCCCACACGCAGACCCCAGCGCTGCTCATCGTTCATCCGGATATGTCCCCGGCCACCCCCCATTTGACCATAGGATGGCCTGCCATTGTACTCACCCGCGTAGCTGTAGTCACCATTGCCAAGCCGGCCAGCTCCGGTGGCACCAGAAACGACATAGTCACCCCAGCAGAGTCCATCTATCGACCACAGAGCCGTAAAAGCCACGCACCACAGGAGTGTTGCAGCGTGCTTCACCACAGGTGTGGCTTTTCTGCTGGCGCGTCCTGCCCCAGATCTGCTTGCTTCCTCCTCCAGCTTATCCTTTTGAAAATTTTGCGTACCCAGCAGCCGACACAGCATCTCCACTGTTCTGCCTTCCATGACAACCCGCACCAGAAACGGAACCGACTCTTTCAGCGGCATCAAAAAAGTGGAGGAAAAGAAGTAGAGAAGCCAAATGGACGTCCACGGGACCTCAGCCCAGCTGCTGATCTGTCTCACCTTGTCCAAGTGGAAATGCAAGGCGGTCGTTCGGACCACGCTCACCAAGACCGAAACCAAACAGACTGATAGCGGGTGCACTCTGAAGAGAATCTCCATGCAGCGCAATGAAAGCTCCCAGCAAAACCAACAGAAAAAAGTGGTCCAAGTGCATGAAGACAATATGACTTCCCCATGCGAAGCAGCCCCAATCATGAATGCCAAGGTGTGAACAGTATAGACCAAGACTGCGAAGGATTCATACCGCAGCCACGCGCTTTTCCAAGCTTCCAGTTCGCATCGATAAGCAAAGCCCCATCTGCCCATCTCCGCATTGACAACCCGCAGATACACACACTGCCAAAGCTGCGCGAAGATGTCAACGATTGCGAAAAATGTGCAGCACATCGTCATGCCTGAGCAGCCCAGCTCACCCAGTTCGTTCAAGTTGACCTCTTCACTTACCTCTCCAGCCGTTGCCAGCGCAAGCCAACTGGGAGTTTGATTGGACTGCGAGGGCTGCAGATTCAACACATTGAAGGCACAAATCAGGTAAGCCATCAGCAAATCCAGAAAGATTCCGAAAGCTGACCAAAGTCGGGACAAGACCTGTTTACACAAGTTTTTCTTGATCCCATCGCGCCGGTTCTTGTAGAGGCGTATCTGCCATTTCGGTTGTTTTTCCTCTTCCACGCGTGTGCAAAGCACATGACACATTTCGAAGGCCTTCTGGGGGTCAATGCTTTGCAAGCAACCAATGAAACTGTAGGAATACCAGAAACGATCATCGGCTTTGCAAACAGCGTTTGGATAGACATCTGTCACATCATCCCACTGCCACTCAGCCACGCTTGAGGCATGTGACAAATAGATCTTGGCTGTTTCCTTCTGTCCAGGCTTCTCATGGAACCACCAGGAATATGGGGAGGCCCAAAGAGTAGATAGATCAGTCAGGCACGAGAGGGATGCTTGTTGCGTCAGGTCGAAGAGTTCTTGGTAAGCTGTCAGGGCTTCCTTCAACAAACTTTCGGCATCATCGAGTTCATGCTGTTCGTGCAGAGTATTGGCCAAATGACACAGGAGTCTCAAAGAGGCTGGATGCTGCCTGCCCAAAATCTTTTGGTGCTGCATCAAAAGATCCCTGTACAACTTCTCAGCTTCTTCGAACTGGCCGACTTCGATGAGAATCTGCGCCAGGTGCTGCTGCGCCTCCATGGCATCTGGGTGTGCAACGGGAGAACTCGCAATCTCAGCTTGGAGAAGTTGGATGGCCTGCGTCCTCTTCCTCTGTGATGCCAAAAGACGTCCCAAGTCGACCTCAGGGTCATAACGCATGGTGTTCACGGTTCTTGGAATTACAGCATTGCGCCTTTCCACGTAAACATGTCAGCACTGTTTTTCGGAGTTCTCGCAAATTGCATTGGTCCTGCTGGCAGCTTTACATTTTGCAATTCTACAGCACTGGTTGTTGGGCTGCAACCTTGGCCACTCTACACACCACCACTACCGACTCATAACTCTCTGGATGCACAAGGCTGTTGTTCTTCTGAGTGCTTGCCACATGTTATCGTGAGATCCTTGTCCAACAATTTCAGCGTAAGTCTGTAGGTATGAGACCAACACTTGGTTCAAACGACGTCAGTGAGTTTCCCAGCCTTGGGAGGCCGCTAAATCTTTGGGCCAGAACATGTTCCAAACTGACGGACTAGGTCAAGCGCGGGCACAAGCTCTGTCAAGTGGCCAGGTCTTACATGACTGCGTGGCACCACCCACCTGGTATCCCAATCGAACCAAGCGTGTGCTGTCCACTTCATGCCCTTCATGCCCTTCATGCCGCGTTCCACTTCCACTTTCCGGAGTGTTGTCCAAGAGGATCTTCAGAATCTTCTCTGCTTCAGCCCATTTCTCTTCGGAAATCAGGACCTTCACCAGACTCCCTCCACCATCGGCCACTTGAAGATGCGCTTCACTTAACAGGCCCGCGGCTTCCTTGAAGTTGCCACGAGCCGACACAACGTTGGCCAACCTTTCCAGGGCCCAACATAGTCGGGGAATGATAGGCATGAAGCGCATATTTCAAAATACACCAATTTGGGGGCAAGGTGCGAAAGAATATTGCCAGGCACACGATACGCACTATGCGTCGTACCCGTTTTAGGATCTGATCAGTCACTGTCAGATGTCATTCAGTCATATGGTTCATATGCTTGACAGTTGATTTGCATCTGCAATTTCCAACATCGTCGTCGTCGTCGCCGTGGTGGTGGTGGTGGTGGTGGCGGTGGCGGCGGTGGTGGTGGTGGCGGTGGCGGCGCTGGTGGCGGCGGCGGCGGTGGTGGTGGTGGTGGCGGCGGTGGTGGCGGCGATGGTGGTGGTGGCGGTTGTTGTGGCGGTTGTTGTTGTTGTTACTCAGAGCTATATGTATGCACATACATACCTGTACCCATGCCAAACGATCCAGCGACGTGTCTGTCTTAGACACCTTCCTTTGCCACATCATGTTGGGACACGGCCCCCCCAAATCATAGCAAAGCGCAGCAAAGAAAAACGACAGCACACGCACACACACAGACACACAGACACACAGACACACAGACACACAGACACACAGACACACAGACACACAGACACACAGACACACAGACACACAGACACCAGACACACAGACACACAGACACACAGACACACAGACACACAGACACACAGACACACAGACACACAGACACACAGACACACAGACAGACACACAGACACACAGACACACAGACAGACACACACACACACACACATCACACACACACACACACACACACACACACGCACGCACGCACGCACGCACGCACGCACGCACGCACGCACGCACGCACGCACGCACGCACGCACGCACGCACGCACGCACGCACGCACGCACGCACCACACACACACACACACACACACAGACAGACAGACAGACACACACACAGACAGACAGAGACAGACAGAGACAGACAGAGACAGACAGAGACAGACAGAGACAGACAGAGACAGACAGAGACAGACAGAGACAGACAGAGACAGAGACAAACACACACTCACACAAGAGATTCTGACATCTGCTGAGCCCGAACGCCGCGGAACTGATTTTCTGCGTCTTTTTCGATATAGCGAACTGTCAGTTGCATCAAACACAAAGTGTTGACAGCTGCGATGCCAACAACAACTGTGTGATCAGCGTCGGCACAGCGCGTGTCTTCCAGGAAGAAGGACGACAAAGATAGTTGTGACCCGTGGATGCGAAAAAACAAAGAGTACATGCAAGTAGACTGGCATGGACACACTTTGCAAAACCAACGACAAATGCAATGGTGAAAAACCTTTCCAGTTCACCACATGTTTGACTGCCTTAGTGGGCTCATGCATTGAAAATTCTGGCTGTGCTACGGACAGTCTTTAGTGCTTGCCCTATGCGTCGTCGCCGCATGCTTGGGCAGGTACTGTTGTCTTCGTCAGGTTCTGTTGCAAACGAATCCGCCGAGGTTGGAGGCCTGAGGCGTTTAGATCTATACGTCTAGGGAACCTTTGAAAGGTGTACTCACCCCCTACCCTTCCAGATGGCGTGTCGGCGGGGTGTGTCGGCCGAGTCTGCCATAGGGGGTGGATGTGAAAATTGTTTGAAGACCCTGCCCAGAACCCCCCCCCGGCGCCCGCCCCCGCCCCACAGGGCCACTGGCTTCGAGTCGACATACCTGAACTACCTGAACCCTATGTCCTCTCATGAACCCTGCATTCGCCTCGGTACCCTTGCAGCCTCGCTGTAGTAACTGAGCAGACAGTGGGGACACATCAAACTCTTTTGATACGCCGCAAACCTGACAGGGTGTGAAGTACATTAGTATGTCCAGGGTGATGTTCGTTCTTTGCCCAAGAACCATACTGTCGCAGCAAAGGAAAACCACCGCAGACAGGAGACCTCCACATGTCAGAGAGAGAGAGAGAGAGCAAGACAAATAGTGTGACCTTCTGAATTGCATTAAACACGGCCTTGAGAGTTGCGATGCCCAAAACAGCAGTTTTGCACTGCCAACAACAAGCACGTTCTTTGCGAATAGTACTGAGAAAACAAACGCGCAATGTGCGCAAAAACGCACAAAAGGTACACGGGCGGAAGTAGACTGACATGTGCACAGACTTCATGCAATAAGAAAAAAGAACTCAGAGCGCTGCCTTCCGAGCCCGTGCTGAAATGCAGCGAACAAACTCTCACAAATGTCTGGACTGCTATTCACCTAGCTTGAGCAAGAGAAAACAAAATCCTGGATTCTCTTCTGGATGCTGCGCCAAGCTTGGGAAGCTTGTTCACCAAAGCCTCTTTAGCTTGAAACTTTGCAGGCCGTGAAGCAACGCAAAAGTCACAACTGTCACAACAACTATGCGCAAACTGACAAACTGACAGCGACCAAGCCGGGCCCCCCACCTGTGCTTTGCCCTGCAAATCATCGCTTCGTCGCTTCCTTTCAGAGCATCTAATCTTTCGCAAAGGCGTAATTCCAACCGGGTCCACAAGTTCACGACATCACCCCTTACTGCCAGAACTTTGGTGGTCGCCGGCCCAGCTGGCTGGAAGAATGGCAGCTCGATTCCAGCCGGGTGCAGAATGGGAATGCAATAGTTGCAGCCAGCTTCATCACTCAGTCGATCTGCCAGGTTCTGCCGCTCATCCGGACCGCGTTCGATGTGGACCGTGAAAAGCCCTGGCGTTGGAGCCACAGAAGAGGCGGCGCTGATGGAACAGAGGATTTCGGCCGTGTCGCGCGTGAAGTCAGTGGCGCAGCGAAAACCCAAATGGTTCGTGTAGTGGAAGGAAACCACAGACGCGGCCTGTCATGGTGAAATCCACTGAACCAACCTTAACTTCCACCGACAAGGCGAAAAGGTTACGCCCAGGTGGCTCATGCGATGCTGAGAACATGCGAAACTTTCAAAATGCGATGTTCTCCACCAGGGAGAAGGGTTTTTTTTGTTGCCACCATACTTCTAACATGCAAAAAACCTTTGTCTTGTCATCATGTCTTAGTTTATCATCTCATCATGAGAAATCAAACTTAACTGTACCCATCTCTGCCCCCCGAAAAAGCAGGCGCGCCTCTTTTTCAGATAGATCCAGCAAATCCGCCCAGACCTTGATATTCAAAGGTTTGTATCGCCAAACCCATTCCTCCTCCATGAACTCAAAGTCTGGGTGAGCGAACTGACCTCCATTGAAGTACTGAAACTGAAAAAACTCATAGAGGTGACCCACACGGTGGAAACCACCTTGGTCGCCGTACATTTCTTGATGGGTTTCCAGCGGTTTCCTGCTGCTGAAACCTCTGCGAGGCCAGACAACCAAAGACCAAGTATCGGTGAAACAAACCTGTCAGCAGGGCATTGTGAACGCAGCTCTGCCCATCTGCGAGTCTTTGGGCATGATACGTCTATGTCTTCTTCTGCTGGGCATCAGACAGACCTATGCGACCTTTGTCTCTCCCTCTATATCTATATCTATATCTATATCTATATCTAATCTATATATATATATATATACATGTATGTAATAACACTGTTTATGGCTACACCGTATACCAATATTCATGCTTCATGTTTTTCGGATCTGCATGTCAGGACTTCACAGTGCAGTACCCCATGATTCTCAGTGAGTTGGATCTATAGGTGACCATCGCAATTACTTGGATGTTCTATTGACAGTTGAACATGGACCGCTTCAGAACCCCCGACTCCAACTATGGTTTTGCACGCAGCTTGAGAGGAGGCTGGACATGCCATTGTCAGATCGAGCACAGATTGACAGCAAGTGTTCCGGAGCAGAAGCAGCAAGATCAACTACAAGCAACTGCCACTTCAGACCTTGACAGGATCACAAATGCACGGGTAATATGCAGACTCAGCAAATGGCTACATGAGACCTGGGCTAAATCCGCCGAGGTAGGATCCAGCTACACAGCACCGTCACCCGCACCCCGCCACCCCCCCCCCCACCAAACAATCAGTTGAAGCCTGGGGGTGATTCTTCCAGGTCCGCCATGGCGAAGGTACAGGAATCCGCACACCCTAAGTTGTCGCAGCGACAAGACTGCCCTCGACTCCAAACTGTAAGCACTTCTCAACTCGGCAGTCTCGAGCCGATGCATTACCTTAAGCCCTGATGCTAGCTCAGAAACCTAGCCCCCAACCCTTCTGCGCTGCGCTGGCCAAGGCCGAGGCGAGTCGCGTAGCGTTCTTTTTGGCATGCAAGTGTCAGGAGGCCGATGTGTTTCCAGAAGCCTGTGTCGTCAACTGCGCATTGACGGGGCTGCTGTCAAAGCCAGCGCTGGCTGTAACAAAACCTTGGGAGTTTAGCTTTCCAAATGGCCTCCAATTGAGGCCACGTGCAGTTAAAGCTGAAAATCGGTGCTGCCGCCCGCAGTATCTTCAGTGAACCGGTTCACCCCGCACCAGCAGATCGCTTTCGTGACTCTTGGCAAAGGCCGACAATAGCAGACGAATCTCAAAATCTGCTCATCTGGAGCACTCCGACAACAGAGTGAAGATCAGTCGCGTTGTGCCTGGCATTGCCTGGCCTTTGCCAACAGAGTCACTCATTCGCGTGCCAGTCCTGGGCAGAAAACCTGCATTCGATACGAAAAACCTGCGGAGGCATTGCAGCACACAGAGAGGACTCCTCCTTGAGAGAAAACAATTATGCTCGACCTTGGTGAAACCATGAGCCTGACGACACCCCCATGCTGCTGCGACAGCACCATATCACTGGAAGTTCACTTCACAATGGCTCCCCTGGCACTAGTATCTCCCCAGAGCAGCTTGCATAGAAGTGCTAAAGGCTGGTGCGAGAAGTTTCCGTCACTCTTGAGGGCGAGATGCCTACAGAGAGCGTGAGCGGTTCCGTGGCACTGGGCTACTGTCCGGCTAAGTCCCTTAGGTACGCAGAAGGTCGAAGTGCTCAGGCTGAGACCTTCAGGAGCCCCTTGGGACACACAGCTGGTGAAAGCTCTACCTGGCATGGTACAGGACGCGCTGCCCCTACATTCACTTGACAAATCGCAAGAGGTCACTTGAAAGCACCAGGTCATCGTCGATCTCAGCATGAATCAAAGCAGCAACAAATATCACTTGTGCGCTGCGCAGGCACTTCGCCTGCTGATCAAGAAGCCCTCGGGAGCGTCCTGAGAAATGCAGATTGAATTCGAGAATGTGCGCCTTGAGAGTTCCACAGACAGGACGCAGTGCGTCACAGTGCTGCAAGTCTCACAGGCACAAGCTCCCGGCGGAACCCACGGTGGGGGCCTGCGACGGCTTGCCCTGAGGCGTGCTGAGTGGGCGCGATCGCGCCAAGAAACCATGGCTTGCTTGCAAAGGTGGCGAGCATGTTAAAGTGAAGCACTCCCCCGGCCTTTTTGGTGCCTGCGAGAACCTCCTTGATGTCGGGCAGGATCTCCGAGGGCGGAACCCTGTCACAGATTTCGTCGTGCCAAGGCTAGCTGCCCTGAACCCTATACTTTAGGGCCTTCAATACTTCTTGCAAGATCAACTGCTAAGGCTGGCACTTGGGGCTATAGTACCGGACGACGCGACCCTCCTTATCAATCAGGAATTTCGCCTCGGCAGAGGTGCCATGCTGTAGGTTGTGAAAACCATGCTTCAACATGTCTCAACTTACAGCACCTTGGACTGCGATGCTTCTGAGAAATAGTGTGAGACTTCTGGGATGCCAAGACCTGCAGCTGTCTGCAACGAGGCCCAGGCAAAGTTCCATGGGATCGGACGCATTTTCGATCCCAGGTGAGTTTGCTCTGCATTGTACCTCTCAGAGCGTCCAGAAATTTCAGGGGTACATCGCCAGGCTATGCCTAGCTCTTCCCGTGGCCATGGAAGGATCCACAAAGCCAAAAAGTTACTCAGCTACTCTGCAGCTGTGAGAGGAGAAATTCGGGGGAACCTATGATTTCCTACGTCCTCGCTGAGGGTCCACTTCCAGCAGGCAACTCGCTACAGGATGCAACAGCCAACAGCGATCCTAAGCATTTCGCTGCGGAAACAGCACTAAGGCTTCATTACTGGATGTTCCGCTTGCATCCCCCAGTCCGGCCTGCAGAAATGGTAGACCGGATGAGCATGGGGGCCATTCACGTGCACCTGCAAAAAGCTTAGTTACTGCGACTGTACGTTCTTCGAAGTGGCCTCGTCTGTACACGCCAAACTCCCCCAAGGCCTTCTCGAACAGGGTATACTTCGCATCCGGTGGCAGCTTGCCTGGCAGAGGGAGAGAAAGAAAAATGGCCACTTCCACACATGCCATATCAGCCGTTTCGAAATGGGATACCCCCGGCCAAAGTACAGCTGAGTAGTTCTCTGAATTCGGTTCTCTTTTGGGTCCATAGCAACCAGGACCTCCCAAAAGGGACCCTAACCTTGACAACTCTATAGCTGCAGACCTCAGCCTTCCGGGGAAGTCTTTTTGGAGGTTCATGGAGGCATCTGCCAGTTTCCCTCTGCTGGATGTTGCCCGACATTGATCTGAAAACTGTACAGATCTGCCATACGTGAGCCTGAGGCATGCCAGCAGAGGTAGCCTAATGCTTGGGGTCTGCGGAAGTCGTATGAAGGGCAAGTTGCTCGATGCAGGATGGTGCATGTTTCTGCCAACTGGGTTGTGCGAGAGGAGCAGTAGACGCATAGCCTCACGAGTCGTTTGATGTCGTGTGCCTTTCATTGAGGTGCTGTTTGGTGAGGCCAAAACAAGGCCTTGAATCTGCTTCGCGCTGCCCTTGGGCCACGTGGAACATATTTCCACAGTTTGGATCAGTATCGTCCCGTCTGTCTGTTGCAGGTCGAGCTCAACAGAAGTCTCTTGCCAGCTTGCGCGTTGATCTCGAACTGAGTATCGTTCGCTTCTGTCGACTATCAGGTCGAGCTCAACAGAAGTCTCTTGCCAGCTTGCGCGTTGATCTCGAACTGAGTATCGTTCGCTTCTGTCGACTATGTATGCGCGCCGCAACATAGTGGCGACGACTGTGACAGGTTCGGGTAACACTCTCGAGGCAAGGAGGTATATGCCGAATCGGCAGCAGGCGTGCACACCCCTTTAACATCGATAATCCTACCAAAACTCCAAGTAAGGTGTCGAGTGAGCCCTCAACGAGTTCGGTTCGTGCTCATGTCGCTGTACCCCTTGCGCGCCTTCCGCTTTCGTTTCGCTTTCAACCGAGGAGATTAACCTACTGAGGCATTGATGTGCTGAAGAGGCCTTAGCACATGCGAAAAGAGAGGGAGCCCTCAACGATCCCCGGCGGCGCCAGCCGGGCGGGTGGCTCCCGAAATTTAGCACGACGACGCTTACGACTGAATGTGATTATGTGGCCTCTTACAATAAAAACTAGAAGTACAGGCAGTCTGAAAACATAAAATGTGACGAAGAAAGCGTCGAACTTCCAAGCGGCCTTCTACGAAGACTGCGATGTCCGCCGGCGTGCCCTGGGCAGACGACCCAGAATCAGCCAGAATCCTCTTGTAGAAATCTTATAGAACCCTGCACCCTTTCTGGCCCCAGATTCGACAAGCCCCAGATCGAAATTCGGCTCCCGCCTTCTCCTGCTTTCCAAACTGGTTGCAAGGGAAGGCAAGCCTCAGTGATGCCAGGTGCAGCATCTCCGAGAATTGCCGCACAGACGTCGTGACACACACACACACACACACTCACAAAAAAAAACACAACGTACTTGCCTGACGACGTTCTCTTGAAGTGGTACCCTGACTGGCATGTGGAGGGTTGCAGGGTTCGAGTTTGGAGTTTCCAGGCGCCATCGTCCCGTGGAACCCTTCAGGACTTGTGCCACTTATGGTAAGACAAAGCCAGGGCCGCTCTATTTTTAGTAAGATGGAGACAGGCTGTTGAGCATGAAGGGGACGATGGATATTCCCCGGTGCATCCAAGTGGCACTTCGAACGGCTCAGCTTTCAGCTCGGAGCAAACTTCAGACAGTTCAGCGTAGTTTTGTTTCGTCAAACCTGCGGAACGATGGGGCAAGCTCTGAGGTATACGGCATAAGCCTGTGCTACCTACAGAGATGTATCCTCATCAGTGCATGCTTCTTGCGCAATGATGAGGGCGCCTCATTGAGTGGCCACATTGACCACCAAGGATACCTTTGAAGGACATGCTACAGATTCTTGACCCAGAGCCGCAGCAACACTTCCGACTCACCATCTTCAGTTGGCTTTGGGCATGCTGGGTACCTCTACTGGTGGCGTGTTGAGTGATTTGGCATGGCTTGGCAAAATCGGACACCTGCGAAGTTGGTAGGAAAGAAAGCTCTCTCTCTCTCTCTCTCTCTCTCTCGGTCGACCATCGACCAGGCCGAGGTTGATCTGGCTTTGTCGTAAGGTGCTTCTCCCGATGTTTCTGTTGACTGCATGCATGCGGTAGACACCATTGATACTACCACGAGCAACAAGCTGCAAGACATCCAGATCCTTCTCTCTGGCTATCTTTGATGAAGATTCTTGAGTCCAGAGCAGCAGCTAGTGCTGTTCTGGTGAAGCTCTTGCCGCTTGCAACTAGAAATGCCATTCATGGGCGAGGTGCTGTGTCCTTAAACATCGCAAACTTCACCGCTTCACCCGTGATCAGGCGGGCGTGCAAGTCGTGGAAGCTTTCCGTGGCAACCTGATGCGACCCAAACATTGCTACAGGTTGCATGATGCCAGTGCCCGCAGCATATCTTTCTTGGCCTAAGGGGATTTGATCACAGGACTCCCCCTGTCAGCGACGCATCCCTGCATCCCCGGCTCATGAACTTCTTCATCTACACCTACAGAGTCTTCTTCCTTGTCCTTCTCTGCAGGCTCTCTCCCCCTCTCTTTCTATCCTCCCTCTCTCTAGTCGGCAGCCACCAGTGTGGGCCATCACTAGGAGCCCCACAGTTGCTACCTCGCCGCCTCCTGACAGAGCCAGCGAACTTGGCATCATCCCTATTCGCAATCCGGGTCCCCACAAGGAACATCCGAAACACAAAGGCACCACATGAAAAAAAATGTTTAAAGACTGGAGAAGCGAATCCGTGAATGTACCTGTGCCATCTCTTGCCTTCTGCCTTCTTGGATCCCCTCCACATCTCCAGTTTAAGAGATTCCCGGCTCCCTCCCCACCGCCTCTGAAACAAGGCCCCAAGCAAGACGGCCCAAGCGCACCCTTACCACGATTGGGACCCCTTCACCATTGCACTCTCACATGTACATCCAGCATCATCTAGGCCATGCACTCACAGACTCGCAGCGGTGCGGCCAACGGGGTGCATCACACTCTGGTTGCTTTGCTCTCTTTTTCGCCCATGCCCCCGTGCCTCCACACAGCGAGGACAGGGTGCGGCCGATCTGCTTGAATGCCTGTCCACAGCACAGCGTGTGAACACTTCGTGGCCCTGGACTCCTCGTTTGCCGAGCCATCGACACTTACAGTAACGGCGCCGTGGCAGGGAAATGGCCGACAGATCGTTCAGCTGGAGCGCCGGAGGCCGTGAAATAACCCAGAGCATCATACTTCACAGCTACAGATGCAGCTAAGGCATATCAGTCTTGCTGCAAACGCAAGAATGCCCAATGCCCCTCCTGCCTCCCAACCATCCACCTCTGGAGTTTTAGGCATGGCCTGAAAAGATCTTACGACTGCCATGGTCCGAGGTGAAAGAAGTTAACCACAGCATAAGCAGCACATGGTGAGAGGCATGAAAAACATCCAACCTCGCAATGCTCGCATAGGTGGGGGGCCAAGTCTGCCTGCGAACAGGGCCGGCTTGAAAGTTCCCAATTCCAGATGATCTCACCACCCATCTCTCTGGCACATGCTGCTCTGGTAATGCAGGTTTCTGCGAGTGCAAGCGCGCAGCCTCCTCCAACCCCCACTACTATACTTGCAAAACCACTTTGCCTGGGGGCGACTTGTGCTCTTCAGCTCCATTGCAGCAGAGAGTGCAGCTGCAACAATCCTCCTACTTTGCTGGCAAATGCCTACAACGAAGTGTCGCCAACTCACGCATATATGCTCAAGCAGCAGCATGCAAAACGCCACATGCAGCAGAAAGGTGAGCTCATCGCATCGCATCTTTCTGAAGCTCTTCTCAGCTCATGCTTTGGCTCAAAGAGCGTGAGGAATGTATTGGCCGGTCTTCTCATTGTACCTCGAAGCCAGCAAAGCAGCGAGGTGTTTGAGTTTGAAGCATCCACATCTGGCGAATGGCAAGCATCAGACAGGTCGGTGCACAGGAAGATCTCCCGTCTTATCGACGACTTGGCAAAGGTGTGCCGCAAATTGCTCAAACGCTGCTGGTCAAGCCTAGCAGCGACTGTCATCATCATCACCAAGCGCGACATGACTCACTTCACATTTCACGACTCGACCGTATCCTCGAAGATTCATCTGCTTCAGAGCAACTCCAGCTCAGGCAGCGCAAGCAACTTCTAGAACTGAACTGGACACTGAATGCTAAATATGCGTATAGCTCTATGTATACTATGTACGCATGCTGCATCAGACCCGCCTGAAATGCATCATGCAGGGCCGCTTTAGATGGGCATTCAGCTCGCCATTTCTGTCAACGTACCTTCCCCAGAGATCATCAAAAGTGGGAGATAAGGAGGCTCCCGGATGCTACCGGCTTGCCGGCTAAGATTTGCCAGGAACGTGCAAATGCAACAGGGTCCGGAGCACGGGCAATCCCAAAGGCAGCAGTCTGGAGCGCTCACGGCAAGAATCTGGGCCAAGTACCTCACGCTTCGCCACGGCAACTCGAGTCTGCCATGCTACTGTCAAGCGTCCTACGTTGCGCAGGTTTACACGCCTAAATATAGAATATATGCAGCATGGCCAAATCTGGCCAAAAACGTTTACTCCATGCCCTGCGGCAGTACCACCACCACGACCCCCACCCCCACTACCACCGCCACCATCGCCACCACCACAACCAGACGCTTGTCGTGTAGAGTTAGGACGACCGCAAGGCAACACGCTATCATTCAACTTTCAACCATGCTAACGTGACATTCTTTCGCACCCCGGAGGCCATGCCCCTCAGAAGAACAGTGAGCATTTGCCCGTAGGATGAAACTTATACAAACCACACTGAGCCACACTGTTGATCAGGCAGGTACAGCAAAGCAGCATGCGCCTCTCACCTCAACACATGGGAATCGGCGATATCGAGAGGCGCACGGCAGCAGAAAAAGGCACTGACCGGAGGCACATCTTCGTGCGTGATCCGTGCACTGGCCCTGGCATGTTCTGCGAAGTAAAGAGGGGTTCTCCTGGTCACTTGACTTGGAAAGCCTTAGCCTGAACGAAATGAATGTGGCAGTCCACGAGTCCCGGCGAACAGCACTTGCCGCCGTGATCTGCATACTACCCGCTAACATCCAGAAAACCCTGGAACCCTGTTTCGCTGCTCTCGCGATATTGTCTGATTTTCGATGGTCCTGCTGGTTTTAAGCGATCACTGAGAATGCATTCAGAACTTGTTGAATCCACAGCCTCACCGTCGTTTCGACCACGGCAGACCTCACTAGTTCACACGTCTTGATGCGGTACGTCCGGGGTCTTGTTTTCATGGTGGAGCTCTGGGCACCGCACACGGCTGCCCAAGCAAACTATGTCACCACCTCAGCCGGTGACTAGCGCAGCATAACATGGTACTTGAAAGATGAGCCATCTGTTCAAATAGGTCTTGCGGGAGAGGAGCCTGAAACAGAAGCATGAACTATGGACTATGCCACTGCTTCGGGCGAGTCAAGACAACTCTGCACAAGAGCTTTTTCACACAGTGGGTCTTCGTGTGCAAACGACTTTGAACTGCGGAAACTTCGCACGGCGTCGCACGGATGCATGCCTCCCTGGGCCCCTGGCACAGTAGGCACAGCGCCGGCTCCATCGGAGGCTGAGCACAGGGAAAGCCATCGGCAGATGCTGCCAGATGTCAGCTTTAACAACAAACTCAGGGGATTGTTCTGAATGAGCCCACATACACGTCTTAGTTGAACTTCTCTTTCCCTGGCGCCGCGGCGCCTTTCCGCAGGCAGCACAGGGCCTCAGCTCGTGAAGCAGCTCTTGATGTGACCACTTCCCTGTCTCACCGACTACGACAGTCACTCGCCTGCGATGACCTCCCTCCCGCTTAGGAGGGATTGCAAACTCAGCTGCGACTAGATTAACAACCTCACCTGCGAGGTTCTAAAGGCACAAGCACGTGTAGATCTTTTGGGGATTTGGGGCTTTAGGCTTCAGGGCTTCGGCTTCGGAGTTTCAGGTTTTAGGGCTACTATAGTTTTTAGGCTTCAGGGGTTTAGGTTTTAGGGCTCTCGGCTAGGGTTGACGGTTTAGAGCTTTCGTTCCAGGCTTTCGGGCTCAGGGTTGGGGTTGAGAGTCTAGGGCTTAGGGTTCAGGGCATTTCGCGTTCAAGGCTCTTAGGCACTTGGGGATTTAGGGTCTCAGGCTCTTAGGGTTCCAGCAGAGTTTAGCGGCTCATGTTGTTTGATTTTCAGGGTTTAGGGTTTCGGGAATTAAGGTTTTTGGGGTGCAGTAGTTTAGGGGTTTAGGCGGAGGTAGAGGCAGAGGTGCTGGAGTTGGTGGTGGTGGTCGTAGTCGTCGTAGTCGTCGTAGTATAGCACTAGCCGCACTCGTGGCAGTAGTACTAGTCACTAGTCGTAGCACTCGTAGCAGTGGTAGCGGCGGTGGTGGTGGCAGTAATCGCCTCTCATGGAAGGAAAGCAAAAGGCACAAGCGAAGACACGCAACAAAAAGAGGTACAGCGAGAAAGAAGCACACATCACAGCCGAGAGGAAACATGCAGGCACGAGAGTGTAGATGTATTCAGCGAGCTGGCAGGGTACATGTGGTTCACACTCACCATGACGACCAACTCGTTTTTTTCACGGAAGGCGTGGCTTCCAAAGACCCATGTGTTCTGATTCGATGCGTTGAACCCTATCTTTTCAGGCTCCGCACCCTGCGGAGCAGTCAGGGCCACATATTGTCTTCGTGATGTCTTCATCATTCTGAGGAAATGCAAAGCCAGCTCCCACTGAGCTCCCTTTTCACAGGAGCTGATGACAGCCGAGAAGCTAAAGCTGTTCGGAGTGATGCTTGCATCGGACATGCGCTCGAAAACGCGCAGTGCCATCTGCCACTGCCCACCCTTCTCACAAGAACTGATAACAGCACTGTAGGATACCACATCAGGTGCGACATGTCTCGTTGCTATGTACTCCAAAAGTAGCCCTGCTATCTGCCACCTCCCGGCCTTCTCTGTAGCGCTCAGGGTGGCGTTGAAGCTGATGATGTTGGGCAAAACTCGTTGCAGAGTCATTGAACTTAGCAACCCCAAGGCGAGCTGCCATTGCGAGCCTTTCTCACATGCACTGATCAGCGCGCTGTAAGCGACGACATTCTGCGTGAGCCTTCGCAGAGGCATCTCGCTGGCAATCTCTATGGCAAACTCCCACTGCGCGCCCTTCTCGCAGCAGCTGATGGAAGAACTGCAAGCGATGACGTCGGGCAAGACTTGCGTTGCGTCGAGCGCGTTTAAGAGCTGCAGGGCTTGTTGCCACTGCCCGCTCCTCTCGCAACAGCTTAGAGCTGCGCCGTAGCTAATCACGTCGGGCTGCAGCCTACTGCCATGGATTCGATTGAACAGACACATAGCCACGGGCCACTGTGAACTTGGCTTGCAGCTGTTGATGGCCGACGTATAGCTGATCACATCTGGGAACAGACGATGTGTTCCCATATGATCTATGAGCCAAGACGCCAGCTCCCAGAGCCCTGGCTCCTCCAGAGAAGTGAGAAGCGAGTTGTAGCTCCGGATATTCGGTGCAGGGTGTGAGGTGTGCATCGAGACAAAGATGCTCAGAGCAGGTTGCCAGAGGGAGCTCCTTGAAACGGCTCTTATAGTGGCGTTGTAACTTGCAACATCTGGCAGCACTTCCGTTACTGGCATAGCCGCAAAAAGTTGCACTGCTTGCTGCCATTGCCTACGCAACCCAAGTGATTTTAGCGTCGAGTTGTACATCGCCGTACTTGGTCGACTCCGCATCGAACGTGGCAGTGTCAACAGCTCTTGCTTCTCCGTGCTTCGAGCCAAGTTAACCCGCTGCACTGGCAGCGGCATTCCAGCTGGAGAACTTCGCACGAGATTCCGTACATCCAGCATCCTGCGAAGCAGCGTGCCCTTTCGAGACGCAAATGCCGCACCTCCCCACAACTGACGAGTTTCGGTGAGAACCCCATATTCAGACCCTCCAGCCCGCGGCAAGCCATGGCGCTGCATGGCTTTTGTGCAGTGCCAGCCCATCCCTATTCGTCGTGCTTCAAAAGCCCGGCGGACAGCTGCAACATGGGGAACGCTTCTAATTACCAGGGAGTCTGAGATCTGGGCCATGAGAGCAAGGGGAAGATGGGAAGATTTGGAAGGTACGAAGTCAGGGCTCGAAGGGGTGGGGTCTGGAGCCTCAGAAAAGATTGCCTCGAACTGTACTAGTCAAATAGGAAGGGTCTGTCCAGGCGGCGGAGAGGGTGCCTCGATGCATTCACTGTTGATAGAAAATCAAGTGCGCAACATCTTCCAGTATTCTAGATACTAATGCTTAAGTATGCTGCTGGTGTCAGCAATGACCCTTACATCTTAAAGCCGGAAGCACCCCCCTCCCCCCCCCCCCTTCCCCCCCCACTCCCCCTACCCCCCTGAGGGGCCTGGCTCAACCCTACGATCAATCCAAGCCGAACCGTCTTGAACCCTACTCCCAAAAAAACCCTAAACCCCAAAGCGTGAACCTTGAGCCCTAAGCCCTCAATCCTAAACTAAACCATAAACCATAAACCCGGAACCCTAAACCCTAAACCCTAAACCCAACCCTTATTGCTTGGGGTCCAGCGACTTGGGCGCTGCGGAATCACCATGCTCACGCGGATGC